CTAAATCTGTTGTCTGATAATATTTATAATATTATAGTTTGACAGTGCAACTTGTGAACCTCGTAATTACTTTACCTATTTAGCTCTCGTTAGTACAATAACTTTATTAATGCTCAGTAGGAAATATTCCGATCTAATCATTTTGATCATCCATCTGCCTTAACAAGTTATTATCATAATCGTTGCATTATTTATTATTATACGTCGCTCTACTCTTAGTATTTCATTTATCTCAATTATAGCTACACAATTCAATATTTCGATCACCTCCAGACGAATAAAATTCGTCTTCAAATTTGAAAGGAAAAATTAATGCAAATGATGTCTCCTAAAAGAATATTATACCCTCAGCCGATTTCATTCATACTGAAATCCAGTAAGTTAAATCTAAATTGCTGATTCGAGAAAATACGTTTCAGTTTTTCTGGATAAATTAGAATCTCTATTGTCTATCTTTGGATATTACATTTCTGAAAAAAAGATTTTTTTGAACTAAAAAATGAAATGAGTACTTTGCGTAGTAAAAGTTGCAATCGTACTCTCACTTCGTCACTGGATCAATCTAACTTGGATATTGCACAGAAACTAAATAGACGAGAATCTAAGTGTCGTAATATTATTATGTTTAATTTAAATGAACAGGATATAGATATACCATTTATTAATAATATCTCAATTAGTAATGTTCTGAAAATTCTCAAAGTTCAACATAATTTATATCATGCATCTGATTATAAACATTTTTGGATTGTTACCGACCTCCATAAGTATAAAAGACAAATCATTAAATTATTTAAAAACGAACGTTACCGTAAAAATAGACAATACAAAATTGTTCCATTCGCTATATTTGTGGTTTTCCAAACCTGGTTCACAAAAACTAGATCATAGCTCAAGTATTCATCATAAACTACATTAATCTAAAAATATTAACATTGTTAATAGTCAAAACTGTAACATCTCTAACTTACTATCGAGTTATTATCAAAATATAAGTGACATAAAAATTAAGTCATCGTGCATTCATCAATACATGACTAGTTTACTACACTTTGATTATTATAAAATTACAGAAACTTGGTCAACTCTTGATATAAGTGATACCAAATTAAGCATGTTTGATTATAATATTCATAGATTATATTGCAATGCAACCAATGGTACTATAATAAAGGTGTTGGCGTTTTTATTTTAGTTCATATGATTGCATACGTTTTGGCTCAATTTTAATCCTTTCTAATAAATTAAGTAGTGAACATATCTCAATAATGATAAACATTCATAATATTTAAATATTATTAGCAATAATACTTTGATAATAATTTATTATACTCGTTTTATACTCATATTACTCCTTCCAAGTTTTTTTTTTAAGTTTTTAAAACTCACTGCAATTCTCTTGAAATCTCATTCTTAATATATTCTTATCAGAGCTAAAATTCTAAAAAAAAAATTTCGTTTTTCCGTTTTTGTGTACTTAAACGCTATACAATTTTAATGTTTAACGTTATTACATTTTTAAACATAATTTTAATTTTTAATTTTTCGTTAAACGTTATCTATATTATATATAAAAGACAAAAAAAGTTTATGTGTCCATTATCCAATCCTAAACCATTCATCCGATTGCAATGGAATTCAGTAAAGAAGCAGATTAGACCTAGGAGAAGGTTTAAGCTACATTTTGTCGCGAAAAAAGGTAAATTTATTACTTGACAAATCATACACAAAATACATGCGTAGGACGGGATTTGAAATTGTCCTGCCCATATTTTATGCTCAATATTTATGTCTATAATCATTTTCGTAATACGTTACCTAAGAAACGTAGATAATAATAATAATTTTAGATACTGAATTTAAATAATATAAGCATGTAATATAGGTCTTACCTATTATGAAATAATCTATTGGCCAATTCTAAAAAAAAATATTGTTTAAAATAAACTATAAAGCAGGTATTTAAATATTTAACATACACCATACACGAAAGGTAGGTTATCGTAATTCACGACAAATATCTACAACTGACTAGTAACTTCAAATTACTTATATTGAATAATACTCCAAATAACACACCTGCATTTTTGCACCAATTAAATGGAACATAAATGAACAATTTGTTTGAATAGGTATCTATTTTCATATTAAGTAATAAATTCAATATTTATAAATAAACCTTCAATAAAATAATTCGTAAAAATAAATTATTGTCAACACAGGTTAGCCAACTTTGAATTGTTCATTATTATTAGATTTAAAAAATAAAATTATATTGAGTTCAAAGTAAAAAAAAAGGACAAACGTTTTTCTAAATAACGTTATTTGCAATTTTTTTACGTTATAAATACGTTTATTGTTTATATTTTTAATCATTAGTTATGATTAATGATATATTATTTTTAATGTAATTCGACATTTTTCGTTTTTTGTTTATTGATTTCGTTTATTTGTTTTCATTTTTTTTCCGTTTAACGTTATATATAACGTTTTGAAACCCTGATCCTTATTCTATATTTTTATTTGCTGTTGATTTTAATTTACGTGGTATTCATTAGAAAAATACTAATCTACATGCTAACAATTAAGATTTGCAACTAATAACTCTGAAGTTCTTGAGGAGCTAATTATGTTGTTATAACCATTTCAATATAATTTCACTCAAAATCAGTTTTAATATGGTCGATCTAATACTGTCCAATAATAGTGATATAACAGTCTTTAAAACTTTATTCCCATCAGTAGAAATCGATTTAACTCGTCTTCCATTTCAGATAATTGGTCCATGAGGAAACTCTACAAAAAATTTAATTTAATTAAATCATGAATTTAATTTTTCTAAAAGTAATTTTAACGCAATGAATAATTATTTGTGTTCTATAAACAGGAACTCTATCTTTCGAAACCTACCGAACATTTACTCAGAAGTTAACTTATTTTACAACATTATTTGTAATTCACTTAATTTATTCATTCCTAAAACCTATATTTAGAACAATACATTTTCGAAATGATGTAGAAATGAACTAAAATATATGATTTTTCAAAATAAAAAATGTACTCCACAAATTGTTTAAATGTACTAATAACCAAAATTATTACATAAAATTATTACAAAATTATTACATCATACTAAATTTTCAAAACGTAAAGCTTTATGTAAAATTAGATGCATATTAGACAATAATTCGTATATTAATTATATTCAATATCATATTCTCAAAATCTTTAATCATTCTAAAGCTATATAAATAGTTTAAATAAAAATATTCCGCCTGGTATGGAATTTAACAATATACAGAATTAAATAGTCCCAAAATATTAGATCTATTTAAGGATTATTTTAACACTGTAAACTCAAAACATATTATTGATCCAACAAATTTGACTACTCCTTTATCAGATATAATTAATCTACCAAATATTCAGTTTTCTCTCTCTCTGAAATCTTGTCAAGTTTAAGTTAAGCGTCAATCCTATTTCTGGCCCTGATGGAGTTCCTGAAATATTACTTAAATCATGTAAATATGATTTATCTGTACTAATTCGTATTATTTTTAATTGGTCTCTAAATAGTGACATTCATTTATCATTTCAGAAATTAAGTTTTATTATTCCTTTATTCAAATCTGGTTCTAAAAATATGAAATAATTACAGACCTATCTCCAAACTATTAGCGTTACCTAAACTATTTGAAAAATTGAATAATTCATTTTATTAATAATTAATATAATTATTAAATCTTAATGTTTTTAAATGTTTAAAAATATACTAATGAACAAAAATAAATTAAACTTTTATTATAATATTGATAATTTTCTTTTACTTAAGGTTAAGTATGTACATAATCTTGGTATTATCTTACAATCAAATTTCATTTTCACGAACCATATAGATTAAATAAGTTTAAAAGCTATAATAATTTTATGGTTTTTTTTTTTTAGATTTTCTTCAACCTTCAATGACATACGTTATCTAAAAATGCTTTATGGTGCTTTGGTTTGCCTTTCATTAGAATATGGACTGATAATATGATGCCTTTTTTCTACTTGTCCAATCAAAAAAATTAGAAAGAGTGCAGAAAAAAATATTTACACTATATTGTTAATAAAATAAATATTTATAATAAGAACATATTCATTTTTTTCTATGTTCAATACGGATAAATCAATTTTTTTTTTTTTTACGTCAGCGTTATAATATAACATTGTATATTATACATCTGATACTAGAAAATAATACAAAATTTCATTACAATTTTATCACTTACAAAGTTTTTTTTTGTAACTGTATAACATTATTAACTATCATCAAAGCACTCCTATACCTGTATTAAAAATTGAACACAAATTTATGATTCAAAATGTTGATATTCCTGTTGTAAAACGAGCTATATTTAATTTAATACTTTTTTTTATTTCAATAGTTGAAATAATAATAATATGATAATAATCTTCTAAGACGTGTTATGCACTTTAAAAGTGCTTACTTAAAAAATCATAAATAATTTTTGAAATAACATGAATTATCCATTCATTTTTTTTATAGCTATATTTTATTTTTTTATGTCACAATTTAAAAAAAATAGATTTTAAATACTATTTAATACTATTATTGAGTCTTTGAGTATAATGTACGTCATTGTCAATAATTAATTTTAAATCTGAAACTTTTGAAACAAATTTATTCATTAAATGTACGAGTATCAAGAAGATAAAAAAGTAAAGATAATACAATTTTTATTTTTAATTTTATATATATTTTCCATTTAGATTTTTGATTAATTATAAAAAAATGTTGTGTAATATGCCCGATAAAATAGAAATATGCATAAATATGCCAAATATGCTAAATAAGATTTCATACATTTAACCGTAGTACCTTAAAATGGATTTCTATGTCATCTAACATTAAATACAACTTTGCAAGATTGATATGCAAATGCATGAACTTACGAGCCTTCTCATAACTAACTGAATAACGATTGTACATGTTTTAGACTGCGATGGGATGGACTGTCCAGAAGTATGGGCTCGCATAGCTGTTTTGAATGGACAGACACAAGCGGCTGAAGTGTTGTATCTGGAACAAAATCAAGTGGAAAAAGCAATTGAAATGTATTTGTCGTTGTACAAATGGGAAAACGGTAATAGCGCGTCAACTGTTGGGAAATTTCATTTTCTATTAAATTTGCATATATGTTACCGAATTGCGTATTACAACTCCAGCCATCAGTTTGGCCGAATCCAAAAACCGTCCGGACGTCGACGAGTTGAAATTACGGTATCATGCTTGGCTGTTGGAAACGTATCAGGAAGAAAAGGCAGCAGAAATTGAGGAGATAGAAGGGGACAAAAGAACGGCGCTTCAATTATATATGAAAGCCGGTTTAGTCAGCAAAGCTGCTAGGTAAGTTGCTCACCGGTGCACCGCAGTACAATAATATTATAGCAGAGTATTTTTTTTACAAATTATACTCTAAGCGTATTACACTTGTTTACAAGTAGGGAGTATTGTGACCATCATGTTCTTATTGTGAATATTAAACTAACAAAAATCGGTCTCTAGGTCATGATAGAAATGCGTAATACAACGCATATGTTAACTACATAGTGAAACACCCAGATTAACTGAATAAGTAAAAAAATACACAGATCACTTCACCGGGACCTTTTTTTTTTTTTGAAAACTAATTTGCTACGGGTAACTAAAAATGTCAACTGCTTCTCTGCGGTGTTAATTACTGAACATTGTGCTACACATATTAAATTATTTAAACATGATTAGATCAACATCAACATAATTTTATGTTTACATCTGTTATACACAATAAAGGCTTGTTCAAGATGATCCAGAACTTTTGGCCGACGATACTATCGTAGAAAAAGTTTTATCCGGGTTGCTCCGGCTAGAAAATTACCAGGTGGCTGGAGAACTCTGCCAATCACAAGGAAATCAAAGCAAAGCAATGGAGTTTTACTGCAAAGGAAATATATACACTAAGGCCGTGGAGTTGGCTAGATTCGTATCACCGGCAAGTATGTGGGTTTCATATGGATTTCAATCCGTCGACATTCCCGTTAAGTTTTTTAGAGGGTAATAAATTGGTTACCGGCATTTTTTCTGACGATTATTGTTCTCAAAATGGAAACAAAATAAGACAACATTAACAAAATTAACTTGCATAGATAATGTATTTATAAAGTACATATTTACTAACCGTGCCGGTATGCTTCATTCCAGATGCTGAATATTAAAATTATTAGCACTATATTGTTCAAAAATTCAATGTTCAAAAGGTTTAATCTTAATCAAATTATTTATTATCTAATTACGATATCGGAGATGGTATGTGAACAGATTTGTGTAAAATGATTTTACTATTACAAATAATAATTGCGTTGCAAATAGTAATGGTGTTGCGTGCATTTTTTTTAATGAGCAAAATTGTAGATTTTTAATAGTATAGTTTTAATTATATAGACGATGTACCTATGTATTTTTTAATTTATATTGTTCAATCACAGTCCTTACACGAATCAATTTCTCTCAAAAATATTATTTAATGCTAACGGTCTAAAAAATCACGTTAATGAATTACAAAGTATGGTATACGATAAACGCATTGACATTGTCTTAATCACCGAAATCCATTTTACCAAGTACTCTTACATCTTTATTCCGGGTTATGTATTACTTAAATCTAATCACCCAGATAGCACAGCTCATGCTGATGTAGCTATACTTATAAAATCCAAACTAAAATTCCATCCACTTGCCAATTTCTCTCAAGATTATATTCAATCTTGTGCCATCTCAATTACATTAAATAATATACCTTTTGCTATCGTTGCTATCTACAGTCCTCTTAGGCACAAATTATCTAATGTAGATTTAACTAACTACTTTAACACTATGCCCACAAATTTTTTAATAGGCGGCGACTACAAATCCAAACACAAGAGCTGAGAATGCCGTGTAACCAACCCTTGCCGCAACCTACTTTATAACCTGATTAATATAAATAAATAAAAAATTCTTTCTCCTCCTGTGCCAACCTACTGGCTGACTTCCTTAAGGAAAAAGCCAGATATTTTAGATATATTTGTTGCAAAAATTCCCAGTAATTTATATTGCACGATAAACAATATTCTTGAATTAAACTCTGACCATTCGTCCGTTATCCTAATTATCAATACTTCACCTCAGTCACTCAACGATAGATCTTCTCTTTTTTCACCGATGACTGATCGTCATAAATTTCACAATATCGTAAATCAAAACATAAATCTAAAAATTAAGCTAAAATCGGAACATGACATCGATGAAGCAGTTAATAACCTGACCACCCTCATCCACTCGGCAGTTAGCTTATCGAATACCATAAGTAACTCAAAGATCTTTTCTCACAGTTGCCCATTTTTTTCTGAACAAGTGCATTCAGTAATTGTTGAAAAGCGAAAAGCAAGACACTCTATCAATTCACACGGCTTCCTTCTCATAAAAGCTCATATAATAGGTTAGCTAACTATTTAAATAAGACGTTGACTAAGCTAAAAGATAATATCTTCGAACAAAAACTAACAAGTCTTTCTTCATTAGATGGTAGCTTATGGAAAGAAACAAAAAAAATACTTCAATATAAAACTCCCTCAATCCCATTAATTAAACCTGATAATTCATATTCCATTTCAGACTTCGATAAAGCTGAATTATTCAAAACTCATCTACGTGAAATTTTTCAACCACATCATGACATATTCATACCCCAACAGATTAATGAGGTTTCTACTTTTCTAAACATTCCTCCTCTTATTAGTCCTCCAGAAAAATTCTTTACCCCTAATGAAATTAAACAAATAATACATTATAATATCATTAAAATCACCTTTCTTTTTTGTAAATTTAATTTAATATTATGTACTTAATTAATATTGTAACATACTTGTATCCTTATTTTAACAATGTTTATTATATATTTTATTGTCACTGTACTTGAGCCCATCTGGACGTTTACATCAAATAAATAAATAAATACAAAAATATTCACTAAGAAAAACTCCTGACTTTGATCTCGTTACAGCCGAAGTGGCGAGATGCCTCCCCAAAAAAGCCATAGTTCTTATAACTTATATATTTAAAACTGTTCTTAGATTGTCTTATTTTCCAATTTTATGGAAATTCTCCAAGATAATTCTTTTCCCTTAGCCTGACAAACCTCTCAACTCTCCTACTTTATTCAGACCTATTAGCCTCTTGCTCTTCCTCTCAAAAATTCTGGAAAGACTTATCTTAAAACGCTTATTACCACATATTACCTCTAACAACATACTCCAAAAGACTTTGTTTGGGTTCCGTAACTCTCACAGCACGATAAATCAAGCTCACCGAGTTGTTGATGTTATCTCTATATCTCTGGAAAAAAAACATTATTGCTCTTGCGTTTTCTTAGATGTATCACAAGCCTTCGATCGTGTCTGGCATGAAGGTTTGCAATTCAAACTAAAAAAAATTCTCTCCTCTGCCTTATTCCTATTGATTAAATTATACTTAACTGATATACACTTTCAAGTAAAATTATATTCATCAACATCAGGTATTGCACCAATTAATGCGGATCTACCACAAGGCTTCATACTCTCCCCCTTCTTCTTTAACATTTATGTAGCTGATCAACCTTCCATACAACAAACCATCGTAGTTGATTAGGTACACTGACGACAATGTTATTTTATTCATAAACGAAGATCCCTTAACGGCCTCATTAAATTTGTAATTGCATCTTAATCTCCTTCCTGACTGGTATGCAAAGTAATGAGTTAAAATTAACTAAAATAAATCTCAGCACGCAACATTCATACTCAAACAAGGAATATTCCCAAACATTACCCTTAACAATGTACCAATTCCCACTTCAAACATAGCCAAATATTTAGGATTAATTCATGACAAGAGATTGACATGGAATAAATACCTTCAGACCAAAAGGCTAACCTTAAATAATCGTTTGCGTTTGCTTAGACCTTTTTTAACTAAAAATAAGTACTCCACTCTAAATACCAAACTACTAATCTATAAATCTCTTCTTAAACCTATCTAGACGTATGGACTTCAACTTTGGGGGGCGGTAAAAAAATCCACATTTGTGCCACTTTGGTAAACAATTATCTTCAAGCAGGCCACAAAGTATAAAAGTACAAAAATAATCTTATATATTTGACTTGTTTTTTTATCTTTTATTGTCTATTGAAAATATTATGAATAAAGGTACACATCGTAGGTACACATTAGTTTGATCATTACGTTATTTTAAGTACACGGGTGATATCGATATTTAATTGTAAAGTTTGCGTATGAAAATGGCAGACAGAAAAAAAATGCAAATATATTGATGATTGGCGAATTTTTAATGGTCTATAAATTACTTTTTCATTGAAATTAATGGAAAAGCCGTTTGTCTAGTGTGTGTCGTGAAACGGTTTCAGTTTTTAAAGAATTTAATATCAAACGACATTATGAATCAAAAAGTGTTCATACATTTTAAATTTTTTTTTTATTTTAAAAAATTCGTAACGGGCCAAATAGAATATCTTTGCAGGTCACATGTGGCCCACGGGCCGCGGGTTGGGCACCACTGGTCTAACGTCTATCAAAAAAAAAAAAATTAATGTCATTAAAACAAAAATTAATTAATATAATTAATCAATTAGTCAAGAGTCACTAATGGGTAGCTACTTAAATCACACCTGTCATGTTATCGTTATACTCTTATCATATAAACTTATTGTGCATAAATTGTATAAATTGTTTATTTAAAAAAAAAAATATAAAAAAATAAAAATATTGTTCAAATTCATACATACATAATTTAGTTATAATTTATAATGATTATTATTTATTTTCTATAAGCTTAAAATGTTTTATAATAAATTAAATACTATTTTAAGAAAATAATAAAATATATTTTTATTACATTACAATAATACAAGTTTTTTATTTTTAATAATAACCATCGGAAAGAAAGCTTTCGGGAAATATACCATTCAGGGAAAAGGTCCTTCGGGATTTTCGATTCGGGAAAAAAGGTTTCAGGTATACGGAATTTTGGGAAAAATACCATACGAGAAAAAGATCATTCGGGAATTTCGATTCAGGGAAAAGAACGGGAACAGTGTCGATTCGATATTGCAAAAAACGAAAGATATTTATTACCACACCAATTATACTAATAATGCAAAGTAAAACTGTAGTACTATTGTTGCTATTCAATGAACTGTATATTTCAACGGTAAACTAAATTAACGAAGCGGATAAATCAGAACATAATCGACTTTATGTCTTATCGTTATCATTTAAAATACATTCTCTGTCTCGTTCAGTAATCGTACATAAAAACCAGGGTTTAAAAAGGTTCCTAATAAAGTTGATAATCAGCTCCGGTAGGAGCCAACATTTTTTTAAAACCGGTAACCGTTTATCGTTTAATTTTGATATTATGGTAACCGGTAACCGTTTCTTTAAGGATATTTCAAAAACTATAATAACCGTTAATCGTTTAAAATCCGATGGTTTTGATAATCAGTTACCGGTTAAAACCGGTTATTAAAAATCATATTTTTAAAACAGTTTATTTAGGCCATTCATGGGTTAATAATATACATTATTATAAAACTGTTCATTATTTTCTCTGCATTTGGCAATTTATATCATCAGTTAGATACTTTTAAATCCAAGATAAATACAATAGGTACTGGCTTACCCTTAGAACTAAGATTGAAAAAAGAAGATGAGTTTCCAAAATACAATTATTTTCTCCTATCTATACATTTTAACATTAAAATGTAGTTCATTTGAGTTTAATATCGTTTCCATGATTCACAGATGTAGTTTCTCTGGAAGAAAAATGGGGGGACTTTTTAGTTTCCCAGAAACAACAAGATGCGGCTATTTCTCATTATATTGAGGCTGGAAACACTGTAAAAGCTTTAGAAGCTGCCATTGGCGCTAAGCAATGGAAAAAATCTATGCAAATTATGCAGGTAAATATTATATTATAATTGTGTGTTTTACATTTTAATATTTAAATAAAATCGTAAGAACTAGCCTGCTGAATGTTTTGACGCTTAATTCAATTAAATTCAAAATTTAGTGTATACGGTCCTACAATAAAATGTATACATAAACAAATAATTGCAAAGAATTAAACGCATTTAGACCCGGTTGAGTTTAAGGTTTGGTTTTATAAACGGAGGGAACGACGTTTGAAAAAAAAAAAAAACATTTTATCGTAAAAATCTTTCAGTATATTTACAAAAATAAATTATCGAGTATTGTTATATTATTATAAAATCACACAGCACCAGAAGTGGATTTTTCATAATAATTTATATAATCATATTCAAATGATATTATGATAAATTATATTGAATAATATTACGATAGTAAATTTTTAAAGTAAACATGTATTAGTAAATATTATATTAAGTGTATAAAAGTAAATTTATTTAAATCGTACAAAATAAAAATAATGTTCATATATCATATGTCAATAAACTTCATATTTTCAAATTATCTATATATAACACTTCAAATAACTGTAAGCTAATAATCATGTAGTTGATGCTAAAACAGTAATAAAAAAATAAAAATAAAATAATAATGTTCCGCATGAATTCGAGAAATCTATTTCAATGTAAATTTGCAATAACATGATTACAGTATCAATTGTTATACTCTTCTAATTGGAAAAGTACATATTGAAGGCGAAATAAAAATAAAAATTTAATTCATGAAAACTAATAAAGGATCTCAATTTGGTAAAATTCAAACTTGACTGAATTTCTATACAAAATAAATATACAATAAGTAACATATGGTTATAGTTAGTTTTCGGTTAAAATTGTTTCACGTATCAAAAGAAACAGACTTCAGCCATGATTTATTGTACATGCTAAATTAAGGGCACAAAGTAAGTGATGAATAGGATATGTTATGAGTTCTTATCGATCGAGCACCAAAGGCAGAATATATTAACTTTGATAAAAAATATAAAAATTTAACTAAAATAATTACAGTTATTATAATACTGTTTTCTCGGAAAAATATTTTTGATTTTTGAATTATCAATTTTCAACCTGTTAATATTATAATAGTAGTTAACAGCCGCTTAATTAATAGAAACACGATGGGAGGGGTGCTCATCATCATTACACGTATCGTGTACACTTCGGGTTATATTTTAGGAGCATATAAAATAATTACACGTATAAAACCTATTGTCACTCGTGTTGACCTAGTACGATTTATCTGTAAATTGCAGGTGATCGAAGACAAAACACTGGTGACCAAGTACGGAGCTCATTTGGCTGAACATTTTAAGACCGTCAATGACTTGAAGACCGCGGAAAAACTTTACATGGAATGTGGCATGCACAAGGAAGCGATTCAACTGTATTTGGAAACAGGTATGTGTAGTACATCTGGGAATCACGGTACCTAAACGTGTCCAGTACGGGTAATTGTTTACTATTTAAATCGTCGTTGTTGACCGCACAGGAAACTGGAAAAAGGCGCACAAACTACTGAAGGATTACCCGGCTCTGATGGGCTTGGAAGGTGAACTGGAAGCTTATGGAAAAAAACTAGAAAACACCGGTCGGATCAAAGAGGCAGAGAAGCTTTATTTGGCTCTGGACAAGGTGGATTTAGCCATCGACATGTACAAGAACATTCAGCGATATGACGAGGTACCTGCGCGTTTGCTGCATAATACCGCACTCAAGTCTGAGACGCGGTGTGCATCGTGTCCGTCCCTTTCGGAGAGCCCCTTCACCACCACGTATACGTTGCCTACGATTTTTATTTCTTTTTATTCTTCCCCAAGATGATGTCTCTGGTGAGCAAGTATCACAGTGACTTAGTGAGCACCACCCACATCCATTTGGCTCACGAGTGCGAGTCTCGGGGCAACTACAGGGCGGCCGAAAACCATTTCGTCCAGGCCGGAGAGTGGAAACTAGCAGTAAAAATGTATCGATCGTTGGACATGTGGGAGGAAGCGTACAAAGTAAATGCTAGTATATAAATTTTGTGCGTGCGCGTATGTGTGTGTGTGTTTGTGAGCGTGTGTATGCGCGTAAATATGTTTCGCCCAGAAGTGTCCTGCGCGAAGACGCACGTGCATTCACGTGTTTGGAAATTGAAGTAAACAAAGTTTTACGTCAGATCGCGAACGGCGAAGTGCTTCGCTCAGCACAGCCACTCGTCGTGGTTCGCGTATATTATTATTACCGTGTGCGATGTATATACATACGATTAATTTCATCCCAACGAAACGTCTAACGTACAACGCCGACGAACGTAAGTAATTAATCAACGTTTTCGGTTTTCAGTTATTATTGTAATATAATATATTTTTTATTACTACCGAAGAATGACAGTCTGCTTTTTTGCCATGACGAAAACGCCGTTTAGAACGGGCGCACTTTATATCACGACGAAAATAAAAGTGATTAAAATGCGACGTTAGATTACGTGAAAAAATTTCAGCCTTGTTAGCAATATTATGTTCCTAATTTTAACGAAAACCACATCGTTTTGAAAACGCCACACAATACATTTAACGTGTTTATTTTTCTCAGTACATCGATTTTTATACGAATCTAAATACATTATTTATAATAAGAAGTGCATCATTAATTTTAATGGACTTTTTAATGTATTTAACCTGCAGTTTACGTAATAATTGCAGAAAAATCAATATTAGATTTATTAATGCTTCCGATTAACAGCTGAAAATAAATATCAATACTGTATTAGAGAAATAATTTTGATACTGCGGTTAGTATTTAAACAATTCATTATTCGTTTTAAAATAGAGGTATTATTAAAAAAAAAATCAGTACCAGATTAAACATTTGTGGGCCCCTAGGCAATTCAAATTTTGGACCCTACAAAATTATTTTTTACATACATCTATAACATAACTATCCAATAAATAGCATTAATAATAACCATTATTAATAAATAAAAACGTGTTAATTACATTTTTTTATTTGCAATAAAAATTAATTAATTACTATATTACTTCTATTTTTCTCAAAATAATTTTTTATTATTACTGCGTATAACACCTACAACTTGATATATATTATATTTCGTAATGACTTTTGTTCCGTAAATTCATGAATAAAATATAGGTATTATTAAAAAAAAAATTTTAAAAAATATAGTTTTCCGTTTTCGCAGGGCCCCTTAAATGAGTGAAGCCCTAAGGCGGGCGCTTACTCCGCCTAATGGGTATTCCGGCACTGGTTGTAATTGTCAAATACCCACTAATGTTTTCTTTAAAAAAAATGGATTTTAACATAGTCTAATTGTTATAGTATACAATGTGTTATGTGCAAAAACGAATTGTTAATAATAATATATAATATTTCATAACTTTTCCTCATAATCTTAATTTTTCACGACAGCGACAGAAAAATTTCATTTTAAGCAAAATAATGCATACCACAGAAACAACTTCTGTTGTAATTTTATAAAATAATTTAGTAAAATATTGAATTTTTCTCTATGGTATAGAATTATTTACAAGCGATTCTATTCAACAATGCATTTAACTTTAATAAATATATGAAAACGTACGGATTTTGTACTGAGACGAAATGAGAATTTCATTTATGATAAATGCGTTTCGTGTAGATAATTGACTTACCCTCCATTATTCAATTATATCAATCATGCTCGGGTGAATTAAACCAAAAATGATTTACAACTGCACCGTTTTAGATTGCAAAAAACAATGGCGGAGAACATGCGGCTGAACAAGTAGCGTTTTTGTGGGCTAAATCATTAGGTGGAGATTCAGCGATCAAGTTACTCAACCGCCTGGGTCTACTAAATGAATGTATCGATCACGCCTGTGACAGTTATCAAGTAATGCTATTGAAACGTCATTTTATAACGAGTAGCTACACTGCAACATGAAATAATTATACCTAATCACGTAAACTAACATACTATATATTTATGATGGTGTTAATTTTATAAACATACCAAAATTGGGAATTATGAGTTAGCAAAATTATTGCTAATTGTATTTTATAACTTGTATTACTGCAAATAGTTGCTCAACAAATCTATTGATATCAATAAAGAGTAACACAATAATTATTATGATGTTACTAAGATAAATTGATATATTTTTTATGTTTAGCTTTTTCAGTCCATGTAGGATCTTTGCTGCCACTACCACTCTTCTCAATTTAACTCTGTCGCCACTGTCTTCAATTCCTGTTCTTTCTCAGTAATATTTGTTCGGTCCTTAGGCCTTTTTCCATTCAGTTTCCAAATAAAAATTATATTTGCTTTGCCTTTAGACCTCTAGATGGGATTAGCTTATTCTAGTCTTTTACTTTTTAAGTAGTTATTAACATTGGGCTTTTGAAATATTTGATAAATTTCCTAATTTGTTTACCTTCAACATTCTTTCATTGTCAATTAAATTCTGCGCAGCACTCTTCTTTCAAATGTGTTCATCTTCTCCTCATCTCCCATAGTTGCCAATTAGATTTCATATCCAGTTATCAATACTATCCATAGATAACTGGAGTACTCTTATAGAGGTTCTAGTGATCTTCTAGATAGGAGTTTTGATTTAAACAATTTTGCCAATACCTAATATTCCCTATTCCCTGATGCAATTCCTAAGTAACTGAAATCTGTTACTTGTTGGAAGATATATGCATCTACTTGCAAATCTGCTTGGTCATTTGTATCTCTTGAAACTACTAAGTATTTTGTCTTTATTTATACTATTGATAAAGTTGTTTAAATCCCCATTCGTTATTTCAAAGTCTTTAATTTTTAATTTATTTATTTCAGTAATCTAAATCTAATTTAAAAATTCATAAACCTCATTGAATTCAAATTAAATTTTCATTAACCTGTAATAGTTGCTCCGTTGAGACGTAATATGATGCCGCTACATCTGTTCTAATAATATATTTTTGGAAACCCCTGAGTAAATATAATTTATTTTTGAAATGTTTTATAATCCCAAAACAGTTTGATTTCGCGTTCGAATTGGCTCGATCAGGAGATGCTGAACGTTTGTCTGAGGTCCATTATAAATACGCTCTCGTGCTTGAGGACGATGGTAAGTTCCAAGAAGCAGAAAAACACTTTATAGCTGGAATGAAACCGAAAGAAGCGGTATTGATGTAAGTAAAATAATTATCTTGTATATAATTCCTTAATCTGACGAAATCGATAAATTACCAGTAGTTTTAGTGTATATGTTGTGTTATTATGCATGTTATCATGTATTAGTGTATCATGCAGTGATACTCATTATGCGAATAATTTATGAATTGATGATGGTACGTCAAAAGATATAAAGTTTCTTTTACTTTTTGAACTTTGAAAACATTTGTGTAATGATAAATATATAATATTTTTATATAATATTATCAAATTATATAAAGCTATTTGGATACTAGTTTTGAACTTTTGCTTTAATTGACACATGTTCTATTTTCAATCATTCTAAGCACACGATAGTACTAAATTTCATTGATGCACAAATGTTTTTAATGGAATATTGTATGTGATCAAAAGTAATTAAAAAAAAAAAGAAAAATCCACGTTCTGGTGGTTCAGTAATGAAAACTTTGTAGTGTATCAAATTAATCGAACGATGTTTTACACACCATAGGATGAACAATTATTGTGCACCTACTTTTTTTCGCAAATTCACGTGTTACGATATTAAAATTAAAATATAATTCCGTAATGAATGTTTTTAAGTTTTGACAAAAGTATATTATTTTTTTTTTTTTTTTTTATTAAAAGAACAAAAAGACCGCGGCAGCTATGGCCATTGGTCAGACAGTGACTTAAATAAATTACATAGTTACATATTTACATGATTTTATACAATATAAAGTTATATTTCTTTGAATAAGGTAGATTTTTTTAGGAAAATAAATAGTTTTTGAGTTGCGGTTGGTTCCGGGCTGAAAATTTCATATAAGTGGGTGGCTCCAAGGGTTATCATACGTTCTTGCTTGTTATTTCTGCATTCTGTGAAGATGTGCTTGATGGTGAGTTGGACATCGCAGGTAGTACAATTGGGGGGATCCTCTCTTGTCATAAGGTGGCGGTGGGTTAGTAATGAATGGCCTATTCTTAGGCGGTTTAAAATTGTTTCTTGTCGTCTGGAACAACCGGGAGGAGGAGGCCATGGGAGAATTGATTTTTTAATTTCATTGAGTTTGGTTGATTGATTTGACCAATATCGTTGCCACTTTATGGCATAAAGATTTTTTATATATTTTTTTGCGTCGCTGTAGGTAAATCCTGGTACATTGATAGCTTTGGGTGATATGGGTGAAAGTTTTGCGACCTCGTCGGATTTTTCGTTTCCTGTTATATTGCAATGTCCTGGAATCCACATGAAGGATTTGTGTTTCCCGGCGGACCTTCAATGTGACAAAAGTTGTGAATATTTCTAGCTATATCGGTAGGGTTATTTATATTTTTGAGGCTTGTTATTGCACTGAGTGAATCGCTTAGTATGATACAGCGTTTATCGTCGACAGATTGTATGAAATATTTGATTGCTTCTAGTATAGCCATGGCATCGGCGGTATATATTGAACATTTGTCAGATAGTTTAAGTTGGATTTCAGTGTCACCACATATGATTGCAACCCCAACTCTTTGATCTGTTATGGATGCGTCTGTGTATATCTGTATATGAGGTTCGGCATTGGCTATGATTTCATTAAAGTGGTATTTATATATTTTAGGATTAGTGTTCTTTTTGGGGAACTGATGTAGTTCGAGATTGATATCTAGGGAGATTGTCCAAGGTGGCTGAAGGCTGATAGTTGATGGTATGATCTGATCTAGGTTCAATTTGTCTTGTAAATTTGTGAATAGATTATTGGGAGATGTGGAGATTCCTTGTGGAGATCTATGGATTCTGGCTGCCAGTAGTGATTTTTGCTCAGCCCATCTTAGTGATAGGGAGGGTATTCCTGCTATATTGGATATGCTGTCTATAGGGCTGGATCGGAAAGCTCCTATTGCCAGGCGCATTCCTGAGTTGTGAAGATTTTCGAGCTTTTTAAGGTGGCATTGGATTGCTGACGAGAATAGAGGAAATCCATAATCTATTTTGGACAAAATTAGTGATTTGTGGATCTTGAGAAGTACAGAGGAATGGGCTCCCCATGAGGTATGAGATAGCATTTTGATTATATTGAGACGATTGGTGCAAGCTTGTTTTAGATGTCGGATGTGAGGTGCCCATGAACATTTTGAATCAAAAATTATACCGAGGATCTTAATATATTTGTCATTTTTAATTATATGGTTGCCCAAACTAATTGACATTTTATTTTTGTTTTTGTTGTTGAATATAATGAGTTTAGTTTTTTCAGCTGAAAATCTAAACCCAGATGAATTTGACCAATTTCTTAGTGAGTTTGTGGCATCTTGTAGGATTTGTTTTATTGTTATTAGACTGCTGCTACGACATAAAATGGAGAAATCATCAGCGTACAGTATGGGAATGATTGGTTTTGGTGTTTGCTTGGAAATGTCATTAATGGCTAGCAGAAAAAGGGTTACGGAAATTAAAGAACCCTGAGGAACTCCATTTTCTTGTGTGTATGTATCAGATAAGCAGTTGGATGATTTAACTTGGAATGAACGTTCAAGTAATAGGTTTTGGATGAAGTTAAGTAGGTTCCCTTTACTTACTATTTTGTTAAGTATGTACAATATTCTTGGTCTCCAAGTGGTGTCGTAGGCCTTGGCAATATCGAAGCTGATCATGCCTAAACTTTGTTTGTTGCTATTAGCTATTTCGATTTCTCTTTTGATACTTAGGAGATTGTTTTGAGTGCTTCTATTTTGTCTGAAGCCATTTTGTTCGGGAGATATGTATTTAATTTTTTCAAGGAACCAGATGAGTCGACGATTAATGATTTTTTCAAGTAGCTTACATAGTGTGCTAAATAAAGTGATGGGGCGATAGCTTTCGGTGAGATATTTATTCTTATTGAGCTTGAGGATTGGGATCACAAAACCGTGTCTCCAGTGTTTTGGGAATACATTATTAACCCATATAGTGTTAAAGATGTCAAGTAGGTGTTTGATACCATTGAAGGGTAGATTTTGGATAAAAATATAAGGGATGCCATCTGGTCCAGGGCTTTTACTTTTGTTGGTTCTCAATACCATTTCCAATTCATCCATGGTTATTTGGGAGTTGATTAGGATTTGTGTGGTATCATTAGGGTCAATTGTGTTTGGTGGAGAGTAGTATCGATGGCGATTTATTAGGAATTCGTCATCGTAGTTGGAATTGCTTGAATTTTTTTGAAAATATTCTCCGATAGAATTTACCACTTCCTTTGGTGTCGATATGAGTTTAGAGTTGTATATAAATTGAATATTGCTCTGTCGGTTGGTTCCTTTGAGGGATTTTATTTTACTCCACACTACTGAGGGATCAGTCTGGTTATCTAAGCTAGATGTGAAGGTTTTCCAGGATGTGGCTTTACTGAGTTTAACTAAAAATCTAGTGCGCGCTCTATTTCGTTTTAATTCTACGAAGTCATTTAAGCTGTGTGTGTTTTGGTATTTTTTAAGGGATTTGTTTTTATTTATAATAGATGTTTTTATTTCGTTGTTCCACCATGGAACCCGAGGTCGTTTTGGTTTGTTGTTGGCTAGTCCTATGGACATTTTTGCAGTGTCAGTGATGAGTTTTGAAAATTGGTTTACATCATCATCGATATTTTCTTTAGTAGGGGGTTCAAGTGTGGATATACTATTTTCTATTAATGAATTGAAGAGGTTCCAATTAGCTTCTTTAACTTTCCATCTCGGCGGATAGCATAAGTCTTCTTTGTTTGACGGGTAAGTGAATGTTATTTGGATGGGAAAGTGGTCGCTGCTGAAGATATCAGGTAGTACTTTCCATTCAAGTTTGTGTGCAAGGGAGGTATTTGATATAGATAGGTCGATAGCAGAAAATTTCCCGTCAGAGGGATTTATTCTGGTGGGCAGGCCGGTGTTTAATGTTACTAGATTGTCTTGAGTTAGGAGCTCTTCAATTATTTTCCCTCTTGTGTCGGTTTTATGTGATCCCCAGATTGGGCTGTGGCTGTTGAAGTCCCCGACTATTATGAACGACTGTTGGAGTTGATGGGTGATATTTTCTATATCAGTGAGTGTGAAATTTTTCTGATTGGGGAGGTAGAGGTTGCAGATTGTTATTTTATTATGGGGTAATGTTATGGATACCGCGACAGCTTCTATATCAGTGGTTATATGTATTTCTTCGCTAGGGTATTCTTGACTGACGAAAATTGCTACGCCGCCACTGGCTCGGTCGCACGTATTTCGGTTTTTTTTATAGATGTTGTATTGAGATAACGAAGGATTGTTCTTGTCTGTGAGGTTTGTCTCTTGTAGGCATATTATGGTGGGTGTGTAATCTTTAATAAGTAATTGGAGTTCTGCAAATTTTGAGTAGAACCAAAAGTATATTATGTTGTGATTGATAATTCATAATCCGTGATTGAAAATTACCGGAAAATTTATTTTTATTTTTTGAGAACCAGTGTCGGAACCGGTAACGATAAATACAAACGGATCTTAGAACAATATTTTATCATCGATTTATTTGTAAATTCCTGCATTTTGCGAGTTTAAGGTCTGATTACACCTAATGCGTTTTGTGCAGAATACAGCGATGAAGACAATTTCAATGAGACAAATAATCGGTCTGCGAACGAAATCGCAAGATCCGCAGCGATGACTCTCAAACGGGAATCATTGTTCACATAAACTATCATAATATTAATAATTGAAAATAATGTCTAACCCTCTCCTTTTGCCCTCAACCCCTTGATTTCTTATAAAATTTATAATATTATATCATGAGTCAAATGACCGAAATTGATCAAAATTTTTAAATCCCATTTACATAATAGAGCCAATGTTATTTTTGAAGGGTAAAACGATTACTACAATATTTAATCATGACACCCATATTTTTCTGAATCCGTAGCAAATTCAGTGAAACTGATAAAAATATGGGAATAATAAAGAGAACTGCTCTTAAAAGCTTATATGGTAACTGACGCACTTAGTATGTTTTATTTTAATAGTTTTTAAAACGTATTTCGAAAAAATGAATATTTCTAATTTTATAAAAAAATTGTTTTTTTATTTATTATATTGCATTAACAAATTTTTGTTTTTACAATAATTTTAAATTAAAAGTTAATAATTTTGTGATTTACATTAGATAAAATAGAATTAATGTTGGAAGTTATATTGATGAACATTAATTACGGAAATTCGGACTCAAATGATGATAATGATTGTGGTGATAAAAATGCATACTATGAAAATACTGTTTTCAGTCCACAATTTCTTTTATATTTTTTTTTTTTTTTAATTCTACAATAGTGTGCTCCATCAATTGAATTCATTCTTGAGTGAATTTTTTATAAAATCGGTTTACGATATTCATACGTTCAAGTATGGTATCCCAGTGTTGTTATGAAGTTGCTTATTACGCACTAACCATGGTGCTTAAAAATTATATTCGGTACAATCTATAGGAAAATAAATATAAACCGGTGAACAGTCATCAAGTTAAAGTAATAACTAACATTTCTTCGTACAGTTAAGTGTAATAACACCTCGGACCTGCAGGTACACGCACAACCAGGACTGGGATAACGCGGAACGCGTGGCCGAACAACACGACAAGAGCGCCGTATCCGACGTGCTGATGTCTAGGGCGAAAGTCGAGTTCGAGGCGGCCAACTACCCCCGGTTCGAAGCACTGATGTTACGTTGCCACAAGCCTGAGCTCATCATCAAACAGTACCAGGTTCGTGCGGGGGTGGGTTTCTACAAACGCAAGCGACAGATGCAAGCACATAGCCAGAAAATTTCTTTGGGGGATAGGAGGGGAGCCAACAATTTTGACAATTCCATAGTTTGTTTCCAATAAGAAAATTATAAAGTTTTTAGAAAGCAGTATTTAACACTATTTCCCGTTAACACTATGTCCACTATGAATAGACCATTTATTTAACATTAAGATAACGTTTTCTACGAATATAAAATTTAATATAATAATAATAATATATCCATACTAAAGTCATATAATAATCAAAATCATAATTAATTGTATTGTCGAATAGTTATCACAATATATTTATTTTATGTGTACAAACTATAAGCATAGCATGTTTTTGATGCTTAGAAAAAATAAATGTTTCACGAATTTGCTGCGAGAGGGGGCGGCCCGTAGGCCAAAGTAAATTTGAAATTTCCCAACCCACTTATGCTCTGGCTACGTACCTAAACAGATAACAAAATAGTTTTATAAACATTTCATAAGTTATAATACGTTTTGATCAGCAAATTGACTACATTGTAATTGACCACTGCTTTAAGTGTTACTTCCTTTATAATTAAATTCTGCTCGTGAAAAATTTAAATTTTTAAGTAAAACACTACTAGCAATTATACCGATTGTTTATTGGATGTAGAGTTTCTATGGGTTTTTTTTCTGCGATTTCAATCCTATCTTCATTTCGAACATCTAATAAACACAAAGACACGCACACAAAAATATATATTTATCAGAAGAAAACGTACAAACAAATATGTTGTATATCATATATTCCAATTGATTATTGCCGAGTAAGTTATAATAAAAGAAAAATATACAATACGTTTAACTCTAGAAGTCTTGAATATCTCATTATAAACACAATTGAATTCTATATACGTTTAGACAAGGAGTACTTCGCATTTTACATAAGCTAATTTTATTTCGTCAGCATAACATGCATATACATGTACACTACATTCACGAAAAAAATATGTTTAACAAATATAATAATTTACTAAATGGTTGCAGGAAAAAAATACTTTGAAAATTAAATCGTCACGAACAGAAATATTAACCATGATGAATGATATAATAGTTATTTCTAAAATTCATGTTTATATATTGTATATATAAACATTTTTTGTGAAACAAAGCCATTAAAGACTGTTAAAAAATGAATAATATTTTTTTCAACAAATTTTATCTTAATTTATTTAAGCTATTTTAATTTTAGATTATAAATTTAAAATAATTTCTAGATGAATAATTTATTTTTAACCCGATCTTTTTTCTACTTATAAGAATTATTGACATATTTTTCTCGGAAGACCAATCAATCATTAATACATTAATCTTCATTTATTTAAGAACAAAATATATAACTTATAGATAAAGCTAATTAAAAATGTTAAAAAATTGGCTTACATAATGTCATATTGTTTAAAGGAGTGGACAGTTAGTTGTCATCGTACGTGATTGCATGCTTATGTTTTAATAAAATTCTTTTTAAAAATGACCAAAAATAAAACTATATAGTTACAAAAAGTGAAAGTAACAGTCCTGAAAATTTAATTACTGTCGATAGTTTTAAATTTAAAAAGTATACGAAAGTAAATCTGGTAATTTAACGTAGCATTGTACAATAAAATCCTATTTAGCAAGACTAATTAAAAATGAAAATTCAACTGCGAGTAACAATTTAATTTGTAACCATGATATGGATGAAAAAAATTTAAATCGTCAACTTATTCAAAGTGCATCATATAAAAAAGAGCCAAAGACATGACTGATCGTCCAATTATAATTATTGTAGAAACATACAAGAAAATATTTCAAAAAATATTGTTGAAGTTCAAGAATATATACGATCAGCAAATATTTTATAATCTATAGGCGAATCATTAGTTTCAATTAATGAAACGAACAAAAAAAAAATTTAATTTTTACTAGTACTACAAAATTACAGTTTTTGAGTTTAGATAAGTTAATACTATAATATTAGAAGTTAATACTAGAAATTTAAGTATCACTGCGACGTTGCCAAGTGTATGTATTATTACATTTTATTAAGCATAATCAAGGTTTTTCTATATAAGCGCAAATACGGTATTTAGGTGCAGATACGGCCTCCCATTTAAAGGGATTCGGCAGCAAATAATTTATTTACCAAGCACACTGTGGTAAGCAAATAAATGAAGTAATCTCAATCTTTCAACGTCTATGACGTTTAATTTATTTTTTTTTCAAAGGAGATCTTGGATAAGACTATTTTTATGCGTTTCAAGCACTAAAATATTTATGCACCATGTTGCACGTAAATTTAACGTACGCGTCAATAGGAGTCGATTAACCGAACGAATTTCGACAGAGACGAATAACCGTTCATACTCGATGTAGTAGACATTTTTATTCGGACAGAAGAAAAAAAAACTAGAACATAGTCAGATATCGAGAACCTATTTGTCAATGACAAATTAACTGAGTTTTTCAACCGAAGAAGCATTGGTCAAGAATGATATTAATTGAGAGAAAGCAACGTAAAAAATTTGTTTTTCCTTCGAATATGAAAATCAAAACGAAGAACGTTTTTAGAAAATAATTTATCTCCAGATAATTAAACTGTGTGAGGAAAAATCTTCCAAGTCTAGTATGCCAAATTCGAATGATAGTAGAACAAATATATTTACAAAAATAATAGATTTATGTTTGAAGAACTTTACATTTGATTACATGATTATTATTAGACTCTGGATTTTAAGTTAAATATCTAAACATCAAAAAAAAAAAAAAGTGCAAAAAAAATGTATTTTATTGTGTAGTCATAACGATATTCGACCAAACTGAAAATGTTTATACTACAAATAAACTTTTCTCTTTTATTTAATAAATCACAATTGTTCTTATTGAAAGTAAATATGAGAATATTATATAATAATAATAAATATTAACTTTTACAATAAAAATGTTAGGCATGACTCTTATTCTTGTCGATATAATATATTATTTATACTGATATTCAATCGTATATTTATTACATTTATAATATCATATTATATACCTTGTATGTTAACTCGTATACAAATATAACGTATAAACAAAATAGTGCTGTACAAATAAATAACCAGTAAATAATCAAATAAATACTTAAGTAGGAAGTAATAATAATAATTCATACAATATCAATATAATTCTATTATTTTACTGACTTAATAATTTTTTGTTTATTTGAGTTGGAAAAATACATTTATTACGTTTTATTTTATAATGTTATACTACTATATGGCATATTAATTTGAATTATTTTATGATAAATAACTCAAGTTACCCAAAGGGTTAAGTATTTGAAGTGTTATTTTAACACAACTAAGCTAAGAATTAAATATTACCAAACAAACGTGAAATTATCACTATTATTTAGTTATGCAATAATTGAAATATTTTAATTAATTATTTTCTCTACATGAGTCATTAAAATTGTTGATCAAAAATATTTGCAAGAGTTTTGTACATTTGAAAAATTGCGTATTAAATACAAAAGATCAAAAGCATTCATAAGAACAATTTTTAATTTTAGAAAAATCTGATACTCGATTAATGATACATCGAATACACTATTTTATAACTTATAAATATAATAACAATAATTAATAATATTCAATGATTAAGTATAACATAATGATACAATTAAATACTACTTTGCAAAAATAACAGAAAAGGTGTTTAGGAAAATCAAAAACGTTATGATTCACAAATACAACAAACTAATAAAAAATATTTCAATTCAGATAATATTAATTAGTACTTTTTGGTTTTACTTCTAATATATAATGAAACATTCGATATTAAGATAATGAAGCATACGAACATTTTTAACGCTGATTCCGATACAAAAAATATTTAAGAAGGTTTTGGAATTTTTGACTACATTTTTATTAATCACATAGTCTTTTGCAATAAAATGTTACTTCACATAAAATTAGTATTGTTCAAAAGACATGAGATTATAATTTTTTAATCGAAATATTATAAAGCTATGTTTTAATTTTATAGAAAACTTGAGTTTTAAAATCTAAAAAAAAATATCTGATCGTAATTCACTTTATGCTTACAAATTTTTATTTTTGTTTAACTATCATATTCATTTTATTCATAGTAATTACAGTACATAAAATGTAACGTTCACCTTAAAATAAACTCAGTTAGATCTATAAGCTAAATTTTCTATTGAAAATAATTGCCAGTAAATGTTTAAAATACTAACTGTTAACAAATGCATTAACAAAATATTTTTCATAACCACCAGTGGTTATACCAATATACTAAATGGTGTTTAATATAGATATAGTTCGTGTTACAAAGTTTGTAAACAAGACATGTATACCTTTATGAGAATATTTTCATAATATGAAATTGAAAAAAGATGTATCAACCATGCATAATTGTGTCATTGGTCGTTCGTTTATTAAAATGCATAGGTACACGGATTTGTAACATAGTATCATATCACGGGATATGCGCGTTCCGTGAATTTCAAAAGTAATTTATGCGTGCAAAAGTCATATACTTTTAAGCAAATTAAATAACAATTAAGAAACAATAATGATGTTGCAGGAAAAGGGGATGTGGGTGGAAGCATTAAAATCGTGTCGAGAATACTTGCCGGCCAAATTAGACGAGGTGCAAGCCGAATACGACAGGGAGTGCGGCGCTCGAGTGTCCAGAGACATAAACAGTCTGTTCGTGCAAGCTAGTCAGTGGGAGCAAAACGGCGAGTTTAAGACTGCTGTAGACTGTTTGCTAAAGGTAAATGCTTTTAACCAATTTCTCGTAAAAAATAAATCATTCTAATTTGTTCCTCTAATGCCGTTTGATCACAAATAGCAGCTACATTCGGCAAAGCCCATAATTTTATTGTAAACATCCGACACATCGCCTGCTCGATCTTTCTTCAAACACAGTCCGCTTGTTCATTCATTGCCCAATTGTAGAGTGCATGACTAGACGCTACTTCTGCGCATGTTTTCATGTTATAATCAGTGGTGTATTGGTAAATATATTTGTGTGTATACGCACTAAAAAAAATATAGATATTAATCCTAAAATAAATTTTCTCACTTCGTTTGTCAATTTTTTTCTCTCAATACGTTCGAAAAAATTTAATTAATCCTTTGTAACTACATGTTTTTAACTTATATTAAGACAATAAAATGTAACACCACAAGATATACATTTGCAGCGGGTTATAAATTGCATGATGCAGATTTAAGAACCATAGGCTGAATGTTCACACTCCATACTATTTTATTCAATGTTATTATCTACAGTTAACAAAATACATTAAATACAGCGTACACTGTAACCTTCAACAGTTAAATATTTCAATCAATTACATGGTTCATAACAATTTTTTCCAACGAACTATTAAATTATTATTAGTTATTTTGTTTTCAAGTTATTTTTTAGACGTATACCCGTAAAATAATATTTTACATTAGGTATACGTTGAAAATCGAAAATCTGCTTATGTGTATACGCGCGTATATGTACCAATATACCTCTGGTTATAATCATAGTTCTTGCGAAAAAAATGTAACATTTTCCGTACTGCAAAATATTATATTGTTTCGGCTACGCGTTATCTATTATACATATACAAAAGGACCCTCCTATAAAGGTTGAAGAACACATTTTTAACTTCAAAAAATATTGTCGTGATGATATTGTGTACCCGTGTATAATAAATTCAACAAAGGTGGATATTTGAAAATTTTCCCGATTGAGTCATTCGTTTGAATTTTATCTATGTAATAATATGTACAATAATACCTACGTATACGTGTGAAAAGGTCACTTCAGCCAACTGTAAGGACGACCGTATTATATCGAAAACACTCAACGAAGCGACGCGGATGACATTAAAATATTTAGATGGCGAAGAGTGTACGGACGCTGCTAAAAAGTTAGGTAAGTTCTTAAAGGTTGTACAGCAAGTTTTTTTCATTCACTGCGTGATAAAAGTTATTGATTATGGAAATGTCTGCTTAAACTCGTAAATACATTGTTCGATTAAACTTAATACTATAAAATGTAATATATTTAATATTAACCAGACATACACATACACACACATGATGCATAAGTATTAATATTAACTCGCAAACGTTTTTATCTAGCCGACGGCTGTATTTATTAAAATGTACTATAGCGTGTAATACCGATTTCATTGCAACACTGCTGCAGTTTTTCTCATAAAATTAATTGAGTGTTACCATTAATCCCAATAACCTTCACCAATGCTCCAAATTACAAAAAAGGATGATGAATATGTTCTATACCATTTTTGACACGTAATTTATTACACGGTACTTTTTCCACAGATTTCCTAGCTTGAAATAAAGCTTTTCAATACATATTAATGGAAATAAATTGAAGATTTAATAACGTTAATCTTATTAGATGACATCAGCAAAATAACAGATAACTACTTTTTATAATTCAGTTAAACACTGTACAACAATGCGTGAAAGCTCTACACGGGTCATCTAATAATTTAATTTTCAATGCGCTATTTATACTGTGTTGACGGATACAAAATGGATGTAGAATGGTGAGGAGGGGAATTCGTTTCCAAGTGTCAGTCCGAGTTACACATTCGATGTAATATTATTATAAAAACACGAATAATACGCGTATTTTCAAAACCTGCAAGAAACAACTTCATACCTCTCTCTACACTACACTACGGTTAATTTCAAGTAATACTACAATTATTACACCGTATCTCCTTGTATTTATTTGTTATAATATATATGCTATAAATTATAATTAAATGAAATATATTTTACATTTGGATGTTCAGCCAAATCATAGTAACATTCGAAATCGATTAAATTTTAACATAGACTTGTAATACAAATGGTAATAAAAACAAACAATAAAAAAAATGATCGCTTAAACTACAGTAGTAGAAATTATTACTTATTATTAATTATTTATTATTACTCGTTGGTAATAACATCATAAGAATTGTAATTATAAACTTGCAAGCGATTTTTTAAAAATAAAATATAAAATAGGATAACAGTTATTATTGATCTTGACCATAGTTTACTTTTATCGTAAGAAAGAAAGAGAGAGAGGGGTAGAGTAAGAGTGAAAGATATTTTATTGACGGTGAGTAATAAATTTTAAATCGAATAATAAAGTAAAACACTGAATTCAGGAAAAATAATTTGAAAAACTACCACGTGTTTGACAATTTAAAGTGACTTTGATAATGTGTTTAATAATAATTATCCAATAACGATATTTTACATCATTTTTAACTTCTATCTTTTATATTTCTTATATTTTAAACTTCTTTTTACGGTACGTTTCCTTTGTTTTACTTGAACAGGCAAAATAATATTTATTTTTTTTTTTAACTTTAAACCTTTTCAAATCAGTAACAGACTTTAGTTGTCAAAATAAGTTGAATCTTATAAATTTGTTAACAAAAATGTTATACGATTAATAACGCAAACTAAACGATGTCATGTACAGGTCCCCGTTTAATGGAATGCGAAGAATACCTGTTGGCCGCTAAAGTGTTCATGTGTGCGGATATGATGAAAGAAGCTATTGATGCGTTCATCGCGGGTGATTATTGGTCGAAAGCCAGACAACTATCGTCCGAATTGGATCCCTCGTAAGTTTGGTTCAATATTTGTGATGTTCATTGTTCTCTTCGAATATATTCATTCATGTGTCAATCGAAAAATATTAATAAAAAAAAGTTGCTCGTATCTATGGCAGATTTCTTTCGGGCACTTCACCAAACAGACCCTGAAGCTGTTAGTCGTTTTCCACCTTATTCAATTAGCATTCCTTATATCAATTATCACCATGATCTCATTTGCAGACCTTATCGCATGTTCTACTTATCAATTCTAAATAATTGATAGTCATATACATAAAATAAATATTTATAAAAAAAAAAACCTTTATCTGTTCTCGTCCATTATAATCAATTTCTTCGGCTGGAAATAAATGTTCACAATTTCTCCACGTCGTACGAAATCATCTGAAAGAGAAAAATAAAATAAACGTACTATTGGTTTACAGGTTTGAAAGATATGTTTTGGAATGTTATAAAGATCATATGAAAAGGGAAGGGAAACCAGAACAACTATTGGCAGACATGGACGTAGAAGAAGCGTTGGACATGTTGTCAGCCCAAGGCAAATGGTCCAAATGTTTAGATGTAGCCAGATCACACGGACAAGTCGTACTTCACAAATACATTGCGCTCTACGCCACCGATTTAATCAGGGTAAAAACGGTTGTGTGTTTTATAGCGGGAATCCCGTCGTAAAATATTTACTGAAGTCAAGCCAAAACCAATTTATAAATATTTTATTAGAAAATGTAAAACGAACTATTTCAATTTGCTTGCATAATCGTATTATTACAAGTACATCGTAAAGTGGAAAGTTGAAAACTTTTTTTTAAGTGTTTATGTGTAATCTATGTAATAACTGCTATTAAGTATTCTCGTGAAACGAGAAAATATTTTTAAAATATATAAAGTAAAAAAAAATATATCAATTAATAATTGTTATAGTTGAAATTGAAGACGTATAATTTCCTGCTCTTAAAATGCATTTTCTACCTCCGCTTTTTATTCAATATGTGCAAGTGATTATAAGCAGGGACTGGAACCTATAGGTTTTTTCGGTTCCGGTTTCGGTTTTGGTTGTTCAATTAATTTTTCAAAGGTATTGGTTTTGGTTTTTTAAAAGAGTAAGGGTTCTAGAACCGGTTAATTTCGGTTAATTCTGATTATAGAGATTTATTAAAAAATAATATGAAATTATTTGTTTATTCTTGTTTAAATTATAATTGTTTCATTTCATGAAAATATAAGGTATTATGAATAGTTAAAAAAAATAATTAGAAATATATTAAATATATATATATATATATATTATATCAGCTTATTACATTTCTTTGAGTTAGGTTAAGTTATTTTATTCCAACTCAAAGTAAAAATTTGTAAAATATTTTGTAATATTGTGAAATATTATGATTTAACTAAATAAATATCTTTAATTTAATATTTAATTTTAATTAGGAATCAAAGTTAATATTGGTTACTGTTGTAGCTACAAATTTGTATAAACATTAATTTTATTTAATACATAATAGACAAGATAGATGATATACTCATTGTAAATTTTAATATATTAATAAACATACAAAAATAATAATAATAATATTACAGATTTACTTATTATATGCATTACATTATTACAGTTTACAACACAAAGTAATAAGAACATAAAAAGATTTGACTTTTATTTTTCTGAACCGACAAATGGACTAACAAAATAATCATTACCATAGTTTTACTAGTCTAAATAACTGACCTAAATTAACCTTTTTATAATTAAGGTTACGGTTACGGTTTTTCATTTTTGGAAATAAAGGTATCGGTTTCAGTTACGGTTCCTAAATTTTAAAGGTTAACCGGTTCTTTACGGTTACAGTTCTGATCCCTAATTGTAAGTATCTATTAAAATATTACACACATTTTCATTCAAGACTTATGATAATTATTACTTGATTTAAGACAATTTAATAGAAGTACAGTTTTCATTTGAGAAATAAGGATTTAGTATGAACACATTTTATTTATTCTAGTTAAATCTAAGAATACCCACAAATCATATTTATAGAAAAAATGATATATTTAAGTATATTATATATTACAGTTTAACGTATCACTGTGTTGATATCGTAAATGAAAATAAGACAAAACGGACAGTAAATTAGTTTTTTATTGTGACATTTTGAGTTTTCAATAGAAAAAAAATTTAATTTTTAAAAGGAACATAATATTATAAATTATTATCAGACAACTACAATAATATAGAACAGAACATACTTTTACCCGCGTACGAAGAATGTTTTAAATGGTTTTTAGTTTTCAATCTTAATTTTAACTTTTAATGGGTAAATAACGACATAACATACACTTTTACCAGAGTAATATTTTGTTTGTTCTAAATTTCTTTGTCTTACCTACCTTATTATGAATTTCGACCCATTCGTTTTAATTTTTATTAAAGTTGTGATATATTTTAAGAATTATTTAAAATTATATTTCATAAGTTTTATTATTTAACTCACTGAATGCGAAAGTTATGAAATAGTGGGTCAATAAATACTAAAAATCAATATAGCTTATAAAATGTACTAAATATATTTTAAAATAAATGAAATTCTGTAACTGTTCTAAGGAATTCATTGGTATATAAAAACCAGTAAATTATAATAATATAATTATGTAACACCACCGTGGCACTATTATAAATTATTAAAACAATTTTACGGTAGCTAACACAACATTTATGGTTCAGTATATCTACTAAAAAATACAAGTGGTTGACAAAATATTAATTTGTATTAAATACAAATCATAACTAAACGAAGAAAAAAATTTTTTTAACGATATTATTTGTTTTTAATCATGATATTTTATAATATGTGATAATCTACGTATTATTTCTTCAATAGACTAAGATTTTTCCGATTAAATATGGGACATGGAAATCTACAATACTAATGTACTCTTATAAAACTAATCAATTATACAATCAATAATACACATGGATTCAGAGGCGTATATAGGTTTTCATTTCGGAGGGGGCCGATTATGTATTTGATTTTTGGGTGGAAAGGAAGGAGGAAGCACACTATTACGAAAAAAATTACTTAAGCACTATAAGACTTCTCGACAGTCTTTACACCATCAGAAAAATAAGAAATTCAATTTTTTTAATGATTTATTATTTTTTAAAAGTATAAAAACTACATTGTAATAAACAAATTTTTTATTAGAGTCACTCAAAATTCACCACATCTTTTCTTAAAAGAATAAACATATTTTATAAATATAAAATTTTAAATTATCGCATGAGCAACATTCTCAGTGTCGCGACAAATTTTTGGAAACTCCCAGCATTAAGACATATCCATGATAAAAATAACAATCTTTAACAATGGTATTTTTCATTTCGTAGGGGGCCCGGGCCCTCTCGCCCCCCCCCCCATAAATACGCCACTGCATGGATTATATTATTATAATCAATAAACTCTATGTGGTTATGATATAAAATTTGTATTCTTTATTCTTATGAAATTGTGTAAAAAAACATCTTCCATTATCAGGCGCAATGAATAACTAAAATTAATTTCAACATAAAATAGGCTATACCATTAATACTATTACAGTACCTGGCATTGATTATCAAAAATATCACCTAAAGTATTTCATAAAATAAAATAAAATCAATTTTCTAAATACATATCAATTTTATTGTATTTTGGAAGTTTTTTTGAATATATTTTTTAAACTAATCTAAGAAAAAAATAAAAAATTTAAAAATAAAAATCTCTACATGAATTTATTATTTTTGATTTACCCTTATAGAAAAACATATTAACAAATTTCATAATAAGAAAAGTTCAAATTCAATAATAATTTAATAGATTCAAACATAGAAGTATTAAATTTTTAATTACTCTTTTTACCGTTTAATTTATTGTTATTGTTATAGATAATAAGTTCCCGTTAATAATTTCCACGCGAGTTCGATCGTTTTTTTTTTTTAAATATTCTCATCAGAAATAAATACATAGGTGAAATAAATATGTAGATTTAATAAAAGCAAATATATATATATATATCAAAATACTAATACATTTTGTTTTCAGGAAGGCAACGCTATTGAAGCATTGAATTTATATACGCAGTACGGTGCACCGGCATTTCCTCAGAATTTCAATATATACAGGCGCATAGCATTAGATGTGTTCGGTAAACGTGGGATGGAGAAAGAAGAAAGCTATGATATTTGGGCAAAACTAAGGGATATGTTTTTCAAATTGGTAAAATCAACATAAATTATACAAACACAATATTATTATCCACGTTAACTATTGATTTATGCAGTTGCTTTTCCAACTTGACTAGGTCATGCAAACGCGAATCGATTACTGTTAAACGTGTCGAAAAGCGAATTAATAGCCTTAGGCACGTTTTTAAAACAAAAATAAAACAAACTAATTAATTTAACAAAGTTTCGATAGGCATATTATTTTATTGTACGAATATTATATTTAGTAGTTGCTTTATACACATATATTTTCTTAAATCAAACACATTTGCGTGAAAAATTCAAATAAAATTAGTTATCATTACAATGTGATAATTAGGGTTCGGGACTTGTTGCATTTGCATATTGCTTAATAATGACCGCAGAATAGTCTAAGTAAGATTTAAATTTGTTTTACATCATAACAGATTGAAATACAAAAATTTGAATTGCATATTTTCGCATATTTTGCCATTTTCTAAGTAAAATGCATATTTAACAAATTTTGGTGGCAGTTTAATTGTTATTTATAGTATATTTACGCAGTTTTTGTTTTATGTTAAGTACATTTATTTTAAAGGTTAACTTTATTTATTTGTTACTTTCATACGTTGTTCAATATACCTAATCACTTTTAATAAGTAATTGTTTCTCCGTATAGCTCGGTTTATTAATAACGATGAGATAATAACATTATTAACTGGATTTGACATCTAGGGAAATACTTAATTATTCCTGCGTATACTGTCGACAATAAATTATCTATTTATCGTAAATCGTTTAAAGGTGCGTTTACATTAGAGCCCGAACACGAACGAACGCAAGCGAATGCTACCGAACGAATACGAACGCATATTTGCTAGAAATTTGGCCGCGACCGTTTACATTGTTCGCTCGTTCGTGTTCAACTCTTCGCTTCTACAAAAATCTTCACTCCTAAATACCTACTAAATACACATTTAGTATCGACAAAGCTATACGGGCCGAATGCCGTTTAAACTGAACGGAGAGTTTCTTTGATCGTACCGCTCTTGGGGCGAACGCTACCGAACGCGAACGAATTCGTTTACATTAGTTCGTTCGGTAGCATTTGCTTGCGTTCGTTCGTGTTCGGGCTCTAATGTAAACGCACCTTAAGAGCAGGGGCGCATCCAGGATTTTTTTTTTAGGGGGGGTTAAATTCAAATAATTTTAATATTAATAGGTAGTATTTATTTTGAAATATGTACAGAAATCTTAAAGCTGCACACAATGCTGTTCTTCAGAGTTTTCCGCAGTGTAAAATAGTTTGCTGTAAATTCCATTTAGAACAAAGTTGGTTCAGACGTTTGCAGAAAAATAAAAGTTTATTTAAAGAATACTCAAATGATTCTTAAGTAGGAAGGTGGCTTAAATAAAATAATTGATATACTATAGTTGATAATTTTTATAATAATTTAAAGTCAAATGTCAATTGTCAATAAACCTAATAAAATTATCAAAATGTTTGGGGCTAGCCATTATGGGGGGGCTAAAGCCCGTTAGCCACCCCCTTGGTTGCGCCCTTGCTTAAGAGTAATACTATGTAAAAGAAAAATAAGAATTCAGTTGGTTTTCATGTGTCGTGGCTTTTAAAATCGTTATTCTTGTAGCTCTCGAAATTTTAATGATGCCGAGAATAACGAGCGTATTAGACAATATATCACCGAGCTTAGAAAAAAAAATTTCATTGTAGGAGAAGACGAAGAAAACGAAATCGAATATACACTTCAGTAATATTGTTTGTTCAGTAATAAATGTTGATAGTGATATTGTTGTCAAAAATAACCAATTACAAAAAATTGTCTAAATTAAAATGAATAAATCAAATTTTTTAATTGGCATTTTAAAAACATTCAGTTGCATATTTTTTCGCATATTTCGGTTATTTTAAGTGCATATGTGCATGTATATTTCCTGCAATTTGTGTGCAATAAGTCCTGAACCCTAGTGATAATGTATACAAATGGTTTTGAATGCCGTATTGTTATTTGCTCTCAAAAAATATGTTTAGAGTTATAAAACCGTAGAAGTGATACCTACCTTCCTATCTAACCATATTCACAAAACGGACCAGGTTCCCCGGAGAATTCCGCGTTCTCCCTGACTCCATAAATTATTCAGGGCGTTTGTTTCAAAATATGTATTTCAAATGGTCTCAATCACAAAATAGAGCCAACTGAATTTAAATAAATAAAAAAAAGGTAATAACATCAAGATCGTATTATAAAATCACCTTTAAATATATTCATATCTACATGGTCTTGTACCCCACGAATTTACACTAAATTTGCTTCGTAGTGCAGCCGTACAATACATTTTTTGTTATTCTTTGTACATTTTTCTATAAATATTATTATTTTCAAACGAAAGTCAAGAAGTCAGTGCAGTGAGCATGACACGAATGTGTTAATCGTTGTATGCTATATATATATATATATATATATACAATACTAACTTGTACGATACTTTGTTGTTTTAATAAGGAATCCGCTGTAAATGTTTGTTGAAACTTGTTGCGAGGATTAGTGGACTTGGCTCCACCGCAAACTTTTTTCCTTGTTGGCTGAAAAACATGATTTACAAATTCCGAACACCAATATACAAATATTTGTTCTTGCCAGTATAGCCACAGTCTTCTTAGAGGTCACTTACCGATACAATTATTCTCGATAATTGTCCTTAATATTGACCACTGTTTCCGTCAAGTGTATCCCACTCATATACCAGCCTTCTCAATGAAATTTATTTTTTGATACTCGAATACGTAAACAGTTATTTAAGTGCAAAATTATGTATTTTCATACGATCTGCCGCATGCCAATAATCCCTAAAAAACGTTCTTTCAATTGATACAAGTACTCTTGTTATTTCCACTTTTATTTTGAGTCTTATCTCTAATTTCAATATATAAATACAGCGATCAAAATAATATTTCGCTAAAGATTTTAAGATGACAGAACACAACACTTCTTACAGCCCCATGATGTAACGGCGTAAAATAATTATTCTGTCCACTTTTTCATTTTAAATTGTTATCTTTACAAAACAACTGATCTATAGCTATTTTGAAGTACACGTAAAATAGTATTTTATTTTCAAACGCACGGATATTAGAGACTTGGAAATTATCCAATGCATGTCACATAATATACTATGAAATAATAAAATGTAAATGCTTGTAAAAAAGGAAAATAAAACAAAACGAAACGATTTGTCTCACAAATGACAGTATTAATGATTTTGCAGACGGAGAGCGTCGCTAACCAAACGGATTCGGACTGCGGAAAAGAATTCGAAAAGTACACGTTCGTATGTCATTTGTACGCGGTGCGGTGTGCGTTCGCTGACATCTCGTCGCTTGGCACGTTGGTCGTGAAAGTGTTGGTGGCCCTCTTGAGGTACACGGATATAATACCTGCAGACAAAGCATACTACGAGGCAGGGATCGCGGCTCGAGTACGTATACATCCAAAGTACAGATTTGTTTGTTTACACCAATTAGTGACATTGCGATTACAATCAGTAGCGCACAGAAGATTTTTGACAAGGGTGTCGAAAATATATATTTCGAGGTACTCACCCACCCCCACCAGTAAAATCTAAGTTTAAGCATAGTATAACTCTTATTTTTAAGGGTTTTTGGTTTCTTATTACTAACAAAGATAATAAAAATAAAATTTTTTAAATAAACCTAATATTATTTTTCAATTTTCTGGGTATTAATTTATAAGTTTATATAGCATAATTTTTGGTATTGAGCCCTACTACTTATTCTCATGTGACGCTTTGGTTCTAGGGTAAACATAATTAATATGTTGATTTGGATGGCTGAAAAATTGGTTAGTATTAAACTAAGTAAATGTTCATACAAGTTCACACAGAACTAGTCATCCACCAATTCTCTAAGGGGTGTCAGATGACACTCTTGACCCTCTCTATGTGCGCTACTGATTACAATTAGTGTCCAAACCTGTAACGTCCGCACTCGCGCCCTTATGACAGCACTCGCGGCTAACAATAATAGGATTCGCCATCGAGTTTAATACGTACACCTAACGCAAAATTTTTGCGTGAGTTTCTGGACTGCAATTCTTGCCACACCATAAGACCGTGTGTCTTTTCGGTTGCAAGTCATTGTAATATGCTGATAAGTGTAATTTTAAAATCAATCCTACCGCAAAGACGCACAAATTGAACATCAATCTTCAACGAAAAAGTGTCCTGAAAGTGCCATCTGTGTACTTCAGAAAGCCCCTCTTACTGCACCGAACAGTTAGAACAAGAACATCATTGTAAATTGAAAACGTACGTAGACGCCTCGAACTGATATTATTTAAACTTCCCCGATGTCTACAACACGCGAATTGGACGGTAATCAAAATAAGAGGAGAAGTCGCGAGAGTTTCTGATTAGAATGTACTAAAACCACCCTTTACTTATATTTAGGCAAATTCATCATATAGTATTCAAAACCAAAGGCACGAGAACATAATATGACATAAAATGAATAGAAGATAACGAGCGGCAATAATAATGTAGGGCGATGGACTGGTCTTAATGGAAGCATTATTGAATGCTTCTTTCATGTAGTGATGTCTTTTGCACGTAATGTAAGCCCTCGTCGGGGTATATAGACCTATTATTAATAATTATGAACTAACTCAACGCGGTAATGAAGTATAGGTATCAACAACAAAAACGACAACGCAAAAAACCTATTCATGATATAAAATATTTTCGATATTAAATGGATAATTATTTAATTAAAAATGTATTACTTGTAATATTCCGAATGCTAGAAATATTACAGTAATTATAATTTAAAAATTTTTAGAGCTCGATAATAATTATATTGTTTTAAATTTCTAAGTACTAGACATAAATAATTGCATGGTACACTTAATGTAATATACAACTTACCAGTGGCGCACGCAGGGGGGTAAGGGGTTGTAACCCCCCCACCCTCGAAATTTTCTCCGATATCTAGGTTAAAATTTACAAATTTTACAAGTTTCAAATATGAAGAGTTAGTATTGAATACCTAGTATCATTGATTATAGAATAGTCTATTCTATTATCTATCTATTAATCTATTATTTAAGTCAAAATATATTAAGGATTTGCATAATTTTGTTAATTGTAAAATGTGTTATATTTTTACCTTGACCCCCCCTCCCCGAAAAAAAATCCTGTGTGCGTTACTGCAATTTACATATCCCGTTTTATGTCAGCAACGCGCATAACTTCAATGATTGAGTAGGATGGAATAAGTGAAAAAATACGTAAACAATTTTTAACTTATTATTAATTATGTACATATTATAAAATTAGTCTGATAAATAATAATAAATTGCAACGTTGAAAATATAAATTTTTACAAGGCGTATAATGCGCTGTTAGATAATTTCGTGAGTCGTATGATATAATATTATATTTAGTTCCTATTTACTTTTAGTTTCTTAATTTAAAAAAAAAATCTGATTTTAATAATCAAGATAGTTAATCATGTTTATTTCTCCAAACCGCTCATCAATCTTTTGTTACACATGTAAATTTTACCGCTTAATCATACGGCTGTTTCACCCGTTTTCAATCTATTATAATTAACTTTTCTTTAGAACTATTCCTTTATTTTACTTTATTTCAATTCAATTTGAAATTATTAAAACAACATGATAATACAAGTTTGAAAATACGGTAGACGCAAATTTTATTAATATAATATACATAATATATTGTCTATGGTAATTTGAAAGGAAAATATATAAATGTTAAACATTTCTTTTTTTTCTTTTTTTATTTAATAAGTTCAATGAATTCCCTCTTTTATTTTTACTTTTAATTAAATCAGAATTTTTTTTAACAAATAATGTTCAAAATAGATGGCATTAAATAAACTTTCTATAACATTTCAAATAATTTAAGTAAAGTATAAATATTAGTAAAATAATTAACATTTCATTCCAATTCACCGCAAATAGCATTATTTTTGTTACTATTACAACAATGACTCTGTTTTATTTTTGTGTTTTAGTTCTGAAATATTAAAATCCAAGTATGTATATATAGTTAATAAGATATCATTTAATTTTAATATTTTAATTATTGCATATAATTAATAAAATGCAATAATTTTACAAACAAATTATTCGATAACGTCATAACAGTGAACGTACTATATTCTACAACTGTAAGTATATACGTTGACTAGGCGTTTTTAAACTCTCCAAAAATATCGGTTAAGATAAAAAGGTAATAAAAGGTCTAATGTAAACTCCGCCAGTTTTTTTGTATTTTGCCTGTGAATCCTATCATGGTCATCTAAGAAATTAATTTTATAAAAGTCAACCGAATGTTCATATTTTTAGTAAAGTTCTTACCGAATTTCAAACCCATTCTAATATAAAACTAAATGGCATATCTCAAGTAAATAAGATAAAAAATTCGAAATAAAAAAAAAATGACAGTGTTACAAGGTACTATAATTAGGTACACTAATGGAGTAATATAAGACCTAGAATATTTACAAATTGTATTACATAAATTTGTTTACATACTTGACATAACTATATATTTTTGGATTATTAGGTATAACGATTATTTATTATGATTTTTTTACTACGATTTAAATATTTATTATTCACAATATGATATTATATTATAATATAATTTTTTTTTAATAATATATCATATTAATTTGATACTACTACTTGATTTTTTTTCACTGGCGAAGTTTACATGAACCTAATTTTACCTGATTTTTTTTTTCTGGCGAAGTTTATAGTAAAAAAAGGTACTTTTGGCGGATTTTACATGCGCCCACGTTGACTATGAATATAACTACATATATGAGCATAATTATGAATATAAAAATACAATAAGTAACCTACTGTTATTATATACTGTAACCTGTATTGGGAAATATCTAGATTAGTTTAAAAATTATTTATCTTATTTGTCTATCTATAATTTTTAACTTAGTTATTTTCATTTAGATAAAATTCTAATTTTCTATGAATACCTATAAGATAATTTATTTAAATGGAATTAAAAAAAAAAAAAAATTTGAACATTTCAAATATTTTTATATTTTTATTTTTGCATTTTTCTGTAAACCATATATACATGAATACAGAAAACAAACATTAAGTAAAATGTAATTTTGTACCATGTATTTTAATATTAAATGTTCATTGTAAGTCTGGAGTTTTACATCGTAAACAATGACAAGACTCAAAAATAAAAATATGTAATGGCCATGTAATAAGAACAACTAATAATAGAAAAAGCAAACATTTCTATCCCTGCTACCCGCCACCATAAGATGATGGTCTTTATTAGCCGATACTCATTTCATAGAATTGTGTACAAAATATGAACAAATTATTATTATTTTGAACCGACGAAAATAGACCAACATTCATGGATATTGGATTCACCAGCATAAAATTATATAATATTATATAATAATTTTGATTTGTTAAAATTTTATTTTTATAATACCATATTATAATTCCCGGTATTTATAAGTCGCCGTTCTCGGTTATCGCTTTACTGATCTATACGACGTATGTCCTCTGCAGTATGTGCAATAATCAGTAATAATTGTATATTTTGTGACTTTGTGTTATTGACTTTTTTTTCAATCTGCATCCTATTACCTGTGTGGTTATTAGTGAATTTTTTTGTACAATTGTTAAGGTGCGTTTAGACGGCGCGAATTTGACTCGCGAGTATGACTCGCGCATCACTACCGTGAGCGAGTCCCGCGAATCTGATTCATGGTGAGTCGTGACTCACCTAGATAAAGGGTGAGCCGTCAGTATCCGCGAGGCAGCCATGGCAAATGTTCCTACTGTGAATCCTATGGTACCACTTCGTGCGGCTGCAGCATTTGCCTTTATTGCAGCCCATATTTAAAAAAAAAAATTGCAAGTCGACAAAAACGTCAACGCCGTTGGTGGATGAAAGAAATATTTCGCCAGCGATTTCAATACGGAAATAGGCTTATGAGGGATATGCAAGTTGAATTAGTTGATGACCTCATCATGAATTTCACGCGCATGACATATTCGCCTTCAATACTGAAACTGGGAGTTGTAAATATGCTCCAATTTCCCGCCAGGCATCCTCTCGCTTGTTTTTATTGTGATACGCCTTTTCTCGCGAATTCCACAAAATAGGATATTTTTTATATGTTTCAATTAATTGAATACATATAATTTGATCCATTTTGATGATGCGCATAGACAAATAATTAAAACGTTTACACGGCGCGAAACAAAAGTGCGAATCGCCTTTGACGCGCACCTCGAGACCGACTGACTGACGGCTCACCGCACATTCGCCTCGCGAGTCGTGATTCGCGTTCTACAGCCGTCTATACGTCACGAGGATTGATGCGCGAGTCAAACTCGCGCCGTCTAAACGCACCTTTACAACTGTTAGATTCAGTGACGATTTATTATTTTTTTTATTTTGTTCTTTTAACTTTTTTAATTATGAAACAGTTTGTCTAATTTTTAAATGCTGGCCAGCCAAAAGTACTAAAAAAGATAATTCAAGTACTTAAACAACTGAATAAACTAATCATCTGGTTATATTTTCAAAATTAAACATGAAATCATCTCATATTTATCTAGATAAAAATTTACTAATTTTTATTTATATCTGGATACAATTTAGTATAACTATTTTTGTTTATATCTAAATAAAAATTAGTATAGTCATCATTATCTTTATAAATTATTAGTTATTTATTCCCAACGTTGCTAGCTACTGTAAACCATGATTAAAACATTTTTTGAAACCAGTGGTTCTTAACCTTTTTGAATCTCAGTAGCGCTTCAAGTCTTGATCGTTTTGTCGTAGATTTAATCAATTTATTATTTATTATATTTTGATATTTATAATAATAATTGTAATTATTTCTTATATTGTAAACTATTTTTTTGCTTGTCCACTGGTCAAAAATTGCTACTTAAAATAATCTCATATCAACCCGAAGTATGAAAAATCTACTAAAGATAAATTTCTTTGAGTTCTTGATATAATATAATATACAATAAGATAAATGGTCAATGGTTTGCCGCCAAATTGTAACGTAGTGATTCGTTACAGTTGCAATCTCAAGTCAACCCAAATAAATTAACACCTCCGAGATTATTTAGTGATAAAGTCGTGCTATCACTAAACAAACACGAATCAAATTTAATCAAATCGAATTAAAAATACAATACTAATCGTCACACTTACTAAAAATAAGATTAGAGGTCTTAGATGCCAAAGTTCATACAATCAATAAAAAAAAAATTTAATTGAACGTATAATAAAAATATAACCTGCAATACTTTCTCGTCCTAAAAGGGTGTTACCTATAGATGTACTAAAACACCAAATAACTTCACACCGTCTTCAAAAAAATAATGATAATAAAAAAATGATGTCGAGGGTCGTATTGTAAACACTAACTTATTTACGTACTTTGTGTAATGCAACGGAACGTTATTTTCTAAAATATATCTTTTTATTTTGCATAGAACTCTTGAATTTACGAGTCAAAAACATTGTCTCTTCCTGGCCTATGAATTTAACTCTTCATTATTATTATTATTCAATTATTGTTTAAATAACATTATAAATATCAATTCTTATCTCCGTAATACGTGCATTTAACCCCGATCATTTGGTAACGGCGTGTAATATATTTGATATTTATACGTTTGAAAGCAATACATGGATGGGTAATAATAATAATAAGTAATGTACATAGTAACGACGTATTCTGTATGTTAACTTTATCCGTTTCTTATTTAAAATAAATAACGATCGTTCGTATCGCCACCGGTGCCATTCATTTAACTGTACGAATACAATAACGATCCATTTCTAGACAAAAAGTTTAATAATTGTTAAAATTAACCGTCCATATTCCTTAAATACCAATAAGGTGTGATTTAAGTGTTGGTTACAAATTACCACCTATATCAAAACTATATATATATATAGTTTTGATATATATTATATATATACTAACACAAACTTTATGAATAAATAAAATAAAGAAGGGCTACTAGAGAAATGGGTGAAATGTCAGGTTGATATTGTAACGAAACAGCATACTTTCCTACATCTATCACATGGTGTACGTCTCACCCTGACGGAATACTAACGATTTACGAAATTGATATTATCGATTAATCTGTTGAAAATCAATAGAGCGCGCACACAGTACACAATCCGTCAGTGCGGTCGGATTGTTTATTATACTTAAAAAATTATCAAGATAACGTGGCGGTCGTCGCCGTTTACGATCCGCACGTTATTCCTACTGTACTGTATGGTATTCACGGATAACGCTGGTAACCATAAGCTTGGTACACACGTTCAGTTTTCAGTTCAAACTTAACTTAAAGTAAATGTGTTCAGGTAAGTCGAAACTACACACGATTCGTATCGTTGATCAGTTAAGTGTGGCGACTTCATGATGTCCGACGATTTGTGCATCGTTTTTTTTTTTTTTTTGTCACTATATTCTGATGCCTTAACTTTTCATAAACATGGGTTTTCTCGGTACAGTTCAATAAATTCGCTCAGAATCTTTTGTGGACAATTTCGAGAGTCCATACTATCATTATAATTTAAAATACTGAAGATAATCATTTACAATAGTTTTGTAATTATTTATAATTATTATATCTGTACTTACTCTCCTGATATAATATCTTAATTATATTATTAATAATAGTTGATATACGATGAATAATATCTGAAAGTTTCAATATATTATTCATTTATATATGCACGTGGTCGTTCGCGCCAATTCAAGAAATCATGAACAACCAGTTCAGTTCATACCGCGCCCAGGACTGAACGAGCCTTCAATTTTTGCATACTTACGTTAGGACTTATCTGAACGGCCAGGCCTGTTCAGTCAAGTTTTAAACAAAAACTGAACGTGTGTACGCAGTTATAGGCGTACGCACGGGAGTGGCCGGGTGGGCCGCGGCCTCCCCTGTGGACTTTGGCTTTTCTTTTAATAAAAAATGTATTATACATAGATGTAATGATCTATACTATACAAGATAGCGAACATTTTCACATTTTACATGAATAAAGTAAAACCAGTTTTAATCTTATAGTATAGAATTGATATATGTGATTAAATATAATAAAGTTATTAGTTATTAATCAGACTAATTAGAACTTGCATGTAATATAAAAATTGAAGATGTAATTGATACATTCAAAAACCTTTCTCCCGTGGACAGAAGGATGGAGTTGTAAATAGCATAATAATATGTAAATAAGGATTTCTTAGATATAAATTGTGTAAGTTTAAATAGTATTTATTTTCATATTTGCATATTGAATTAAATAAACAATTTATGAAATTTAAAATATTTAATTATACTTGTAGTTTTTAGTACAAGAATCTTTGGTTCACTTTTTTTAAAGGCTCCTCTTACGGACAAAGTCTGCGCACCACGCCTATGCTGGTAACTGGACATAGAACATTCTTGTATATAAAATCAACGAAATGAACCAATAATCAACTTCCATCTAGTACTTGATTTTACTATGCACCGGTTATACGAATACGGTTGTTATACATAAATCGTATAGTATGTATGATCTAGTGTACAGACTTTCAAACCATTATTCCCCGATGCTCAATAGCCATTGTGTTACGGATCGTCGCCAAGAAGTTTATCGGAGATCATCAGTGTTCACTTCAGAAACTATCCGGAGGAGTCAAGGAGCCGCCACCATTGGTCAAGTGAGCCGTCGCTGTCCGAGTTTGAACGAGCCTCCACCAGGATAAATGTCCGCTCAACATCTGAATCTGGAGTTTCATGACGTAATTTCCCTGTTGGCATTACACGGAACATTGCCTTGGTCTGCAACATTGTTTCCTTATCTACTATGTGTCAGTGCGTACTAGAGAGTCGTTCGACGCCATAGATTACGCTAAATTTTAGCGCATCATACTGTGAGTAGCACGTTGGTAATAGTGTAAATCTCCTAGTATGTCCACTGTCATAACAGCATTGTGAGTAGCCCAAAATATTATCTGAATATTGTGTATCTTTGTGAACTCGATATAGAGTAATGTTTATTGTAAATGTATTACCTATATACTTATGCATATCTGTGTGATTCTTATATCTTTTCTTCTTATTATGTTGTGAGATGAATATTTATTATTATATATTGTTAAAAATTTAAGCATGTTTTTATTATATAAATATAGTTAACAAAATTAAGAATACGTAATCGACATCACGTTTTGTTACAATATTAAACATCCATTCCGCAATAATAGAAAATGTTTTTTTTTGCTGTCAAAACAATTTCAATGTTTAGTAGAAGTGTACAATTAGTTTTAAATGCCAAAACTGTAAACATGTGCCTTTAAATACTCGCGAATCGAGTATTTTTGAAACGTCAAATAGTTTGATATTTCAACAGAACAGATACTTTTGCATACAATAATAGCTATGCGATACACGTCGTACACGTAATCGCTGTGATATTCGTTATTTTATTATAATGTATAATAATATCATCGCATTGTCATTCATTTCTATATCATATCAGCGCTCACTATCGTTTTTCAACAATACTCTCGCCACCATGAACGCTCGGAAACCACCCTCTTGGTCCTCCCACCCTTCTCCCCTTAGAATGCCTCGGATTATTCAAAACCCGTAGAATATAATATTATGATTACTCGGTTATAGGATAGCAAGCGCAACGCGGAGGCGTTTGTGTTCCTGAATCACTATCTAGACATTACGGACGCCATAACGGACGGGCAAAATGAGATGATCGACGATGACACGGACTTGCAAGGGGCGGACTTTCCAACTAACGTGCCGCTACCTCAAACGATGTACGTTGACAACGAAGAACATGAACAGATCAAGGAATGGATCCTTACGAATGCCATGGACCGTGACATTAGTCAAGTAAGTGGGAATAAAACAAATGGCAAATATTTAAATATGTGCCGCACACAAGCGATATATTATTTTCTTTCGTATGACTATTGGCATAGTAGTATTTACTTAAGTATATACCTACTTTCATTACAGTATGACGAACTCGTAGAGGCTTATATAGATACAATTATAGTAATATTGTTTTCGGAATGAAATTTTGCACTCGCGAGCCAAAACTCTTTTGGCCAAGAGTTATTTTTATTAAGAACAAAAATTTGTGGAACACAAAATACATAAAATATAACCAATTAAAATATTACACACGATTTTAGTAGTATGCATTTTTTACACTGCTAATTTATAAAAAAAAATGTCTTATGTACCGCTTAATAATGATATGTATAAAAAAGGAAAATAACGAAAAAGATAAAAATAAAGGCAATAATATTAAAGTGGCCTATAAAACAGTCGGTATGAGAGTCAGCTGGCTGTCAGTGTCCAAAGTACAACGACAATCGTCGTATTGTCTCCACCATTCGGAATTCTTTTTTTTTTCTTTCCTAGGATATCTCGTGTCACGCGTTCTACTCGGTATCGTTCTTAAGATTCGTAGCACACAAGTTTTATATCCGTGTTTAGCAAAAAATATAAGTTTTAATAATATAATACATGTTCATAGAAGTGCACTCCCCTAAAATTTGAAAGATATAAAAGTAACTGTGAAATAAAAATATATTGGAACATTTATATCTACAGTAAATCATACAACTTCTGCAATAAGTGTATACAAAATTCAACGACATTATAGGTAAAAAATAATAAAATTCTTACATACAATTGTTAAAAAAAAAACAAATATATATCAATCATTTAAATACATTTTAAGAATATTAATTTTTATCACAAATTGTTTAACTTTAAAGGAGAATATACAATTTTATCAATTGCATTCCATAGTCGGTTAGATGTACCTTTTACATATAGTTTTTCATGATTAATTAACTAGGTAATTTCTATTTAATAGCTCTTAAATAACTTAATAACTTATTTCTTTATTGTTTTTTTTTTTATTTATTTATTATTTAAATCAATATTTTCAATTTTTATGCGATACTTATGACAAAAAAGAAAGTTATATTAAATATCTAGGATGGTTTTCATATTTCTTTTTCTATACCCCTATACTTTTATATACACTATTTTAAACCCAAAGTACAACCTCCCCAAAAACTAATGGAAGGATCATTACAACTAAGCAAAATTATTTACATAATTTGCAAAACGATATCATCAATTTGATAAATTTGCATCAAAATAGCTGTAATTAATTTCACCCTTATAAACAATTAATTTTTCATGACTAAACGCATCTACTTAATAAACCGTGACATTGACCAATATGTTTTCAATAGTACAATTTAAACATTAGATTTAGGTATTTATTATTTTTTAAATATTTTATCTTGTTATGTTATGAATATTGAGAATAAGAAAAAAAATACGGCATAACTTACATTTGAGTATAAATATGTCTTAAATTTTTATTTTTTCTATGTTATTAATTGTAGCGTATAAATATAAAAAAATTTTCTATATAAAGGTTTTTTTTTATAAGTAAAACCAAATAAAAAATGTAATTATTGTTTCACTAATGAGATATTGGTCATGTTAATGAAAAACAATCGTATCCTAGCATTTATTATAAAACAATTTTGAAAATATCCTCAGCAAAACAACACGTAATAATTTAACGAATTTTTTAATTATTCTGATTACTATTTGGATAAAATCAATGCTTCACTCATATAACATAATAATAATAATTAATTAATAATTAATAATAATTTATTAACAATTCAAAAAATTATTTTGAAAATGTTACCATCTATAACGAACGGTGGTATAGCATTCAGTGAAAATTTCATTCCCTTCGATTATTATATTTTGATTTATGATAAATACGAAAATTCTATTTTGTCAAAATCTGGTACGCCATAAATATTGCCTGTTTTTTTATCACTTTTCGTCAGTTTTTACAATTATTAAAAAAACTGTTGGGAAATTTGTAAAATTACCCCCTTCAAAATACCTACAAGAAAACCACATTTCCTACCATATTGATGATCGAAACGATCCTTTCTGGATTCCGTACACTGACACTACAAAAAACAACACAAATCATGGTAAGACCAATACCAATTCCACGTTTCACTCACAATCTAAAACATTTTAAATTATAAAATATCAGCTGTGAATACAGCACGGTTAAAAGTCAAATATGTTAGAAGAAACGTTTAGATTGTTTCTTTTTATTTTTGCTACGGATAAATGTTAATTTATTGCAATTTTTAGTACGATTAAATGTTTCGAATTTTCTAATATCTCTAGGGTATTTAATTTAACGCAATATAATATACAGTTATATGCAATGTATATATATATTATTCACTGATCTGGTGGTGACGATAATTACGCTTTCAAATAATTACACGAAATGTACTTTACGCCTATACATGTATATGGAATGTTTTAATAACCCACCCACTACTTGATTTCGTACGTATTTATATTTTCATAATAATATTTTGCATGCTGCAGCTGAGGGAATACCGGGGGTTCAAAAGTGTGAATTAATTTTACCCTCGACCGGAGTACGCACATATAATATCGTGGATGATAGAAAATAATGAAATATGCATGTGCATTATTTATAATATGCATATTACACAGAATAATATTATGGGTACATTAAATTAAAATAAAACAAAAAAAAACCCGAAAAACTTGTTGACATTTATATTTACATTTTTGACATTTACACCGTTAACGTGTGAAGCAACAAAACACGCTCATTCGAACAAGTAGTGCTAACTTGGCAAACACACGATTTTTGTGGATGTATTTTCATACGTGTCTAGGTGTACTGTTATAAAACGTGTTACTGTTTTGTTATATCTACGTGCCAACGTCGTGATTATGTTTTATTTGATACACTTCTAAATGTGTACACGAGCGAAAATAATAAAAATGTAGTATCCTCCAGTGGTTCGGGTCAGCGTGTAAATTGTATGCAATTGTGTCTGAATGACCCAAATTCCCTTAATATAGAGTGTCTCAAAAAGAACGCTGGATTTAAATCTGCTATAAATTAAATTTATTTCTTTTAAAAAAACATAACAAATACGAGTATATCATTCTCTTCAGGAGAAGTTAAGGTTTAACAGTGAAAAACAATATCGGGCATACGACCCTCCCTACTAGCCCTACAGGCAATTATTCTTTCTATAAAATTTACCACCACTGGATAACACATTGACCCATTAAGTTCGTTGAGGACACGATGAATTTCTTGCTTAAGTTCTAAGACATTTCGAACTTTGTTTTGGTAAACTCGTGACTTAGTGTATCCGTATAAAAAAAAATCATAAGGCGTCAAGTCGCAAGATCATGAGGGGTACCTTTGGCCACGAAACGAGATTAATCCGTTCGGGAAATTATTACGCAGCAGAGGGATTTTTTCTCTTAAAGTGTAACAAGTTGCGCTGTCTTGTTGTATCCATACAAAAATACCTACTGAGATCAGTAATTTTCTTTGGATCAACTTATCACACTTCAAGATAAACAATCACTATGCTGTGTGAGAAGTTCCTGGACAGACTAATCTCGTTGTGTGGAGCCCAAAGCCGGCTCAAGGTATAGGAGAGCTAGGTACCTACCTAGAGCGGCACTTTAGTAGGGGCGGCATTTTCAAAATTGACTAGTACATTTTTTTTTAGTTCTATCAGTGTTTTATAAGAAAAAATTTTAAAATAATTCATTCGCAAAAACCACTTACCTAAAGGTGTAATAAAATAATATTGTCTAAAGTTATTATATTATTTTATATTACGACCTACGCTGGACGCTTTCAATTATTCCAAAAATATAAATAACCACACAATCACTTCCGCGATTTCCGATAGTCACAATAATGATGGATATTGAATAATAATTATAGAAATCATTTTTAAGTATTTTTATATATAATTTCATACATAAAATAAAAAAATTAAAAAAATTGTATGTAGTTATGTCAGATAAAAACAAGGGGGAGGGGCTAAGTTAAAATCAGTGCTCAATTTGGCCATATGCTTGTTATTGATTTTCACTGTTAAACCTTAACTTCTGAAGATAATGATATTATAATATATTTGTTATGTTTTTTAAAAAGAAATTAATTTAATTTATAACAGATTTAAATCTTTTATTCTTGTTAAAACACCCTATAGTACATATATTATAATTATTATTATGTTTTGAGGGTAATCAATTTCAACTAGCCGATACGATGTCCACCGAAATTTACTCAGATGTCGTTATTTGCACCTCGATCCTTGTGGTTTTGCGTGAGGTCAGATTAGGTTAGGGTGCAAAAAACCGACGCATGGAGGGAGGAGGAAACCACGCAATTTTGCCAATCCATGGATCTAGGTTTATATCTAATGTTGATACCCAGTTTCACGTTACTTTTCGAAATTAAATTAACAGAATAAAATTATGTGCTCGAAATCAGAGTTATAATTTACCATTGAGTATTAATATAATAATACTTATATTACGATTATAAAAATAAATATTTAGTTTCCATAGAACATCAAACAACATGTTAAACATATATACTTATAAAATGTAATGCAAACTAAAAATCTTTATTCTGCAATTTAATCAACAACAGTTGTTACCTACAGTTACTGTAGGTATAGTAAATTTATTCATATAAATTATGCTTTCTTTAATGGCTGTTTTATAAATGAACTCTATAAGAATCCGAATCTTCTGTATACATATTAGTAATTTAGTAAGATTCTCATTAGTGCCTGGAGAGAGGGGGGGATGACGGAAAATTCCCCCCCCCTGAATTTTTTAAAATCTATCATATGACCTAATGATAATATGTTAAATTAAACTTAATTATATGAACAATTTAAAGTAAAGTAAATTTGACGATTCCTTTTACATGCTTACATAAGACTAATTTTATGATAATA